GCATTGCACGGATACGGTACACATCAATAAAATGAATAGCCTTACATAGCTTATAGATTAATAAAGTCAAATTAATTGACGGATAGTTAAAAAACGTTGGGGTGATCTGCGACCGAAAGCATGAATATATGAATATTGGTATGTAAAATGCTAAATTATTGTATGTATGCCTAACCCATGCACATGCCAGTTTGCTTGTCGCCTGAGACAACTATCGTACGTTATATAGTTGTTGTCAATCGTAAGTCGAGCGTACCTATGTAACACGTGCGTTGCTAGGACAACACTTTTATGAGAAAAGCGCACCTGGCCCTGTTCATCATTTTGGTCAGTTGTTAATTCGTAAAAGGACCCTATTTAAAAGCACTACCATTAAAAACCACCCCAATACCTGTTAGAATTCAGCAAATCCCCCTCTTTCGGCACTGATTTTGTATTACAAGGCACCCCTCACGCACACCCCCTCCCTCCTCTAAAAAAAAGTTTACCTACATTGATGTGCAATTTCGTTTTCACTCCCAATTACCGGTGGTGTACCGTCGTCAGGGTTTTGTTTGATTTTGGGATTTAACCCCAGTCTGGCTCCGATTTAGGAGACACTGTTTAGCCCAATAGAAGTTAGGTCAACACCCTCTTCATGATGATTGTCTAAGATGGGATGCCTAAAATTCCCGGGTGAACATACAGTTTAATATACAAAATCCACAATCTATTTCATTGGTGCTATATTGTTGAAAGGTAGGTTGAATTTGAAAGTGATTGTATTCAATTACTGAGAACTTGTACCTATTTCATTACTAACTAATATCTAACTACATATACCCTCACGGATTTTGTCGGTTCGCTTTTATTAACTCAATTTCTCCTTAAATCAAAATATCCCCGCTGATACTATTAATATAGCGAGCCTCATCATTTCGTTAGTATAATTTGTATTTGATGGATTGGTAATAGTTCGGTCTTGTCGATTCGTTTGAGTTTACAGTACGAGTTGTTCTTTATTTAAACATTGGATATCAATCTATATACGACATATTGTATGTCTACCTGCTAAATATTTATTTAATTGTATTTACGACAAACTTATCAAGACATCATGCTTATCCAATCGAATGTCAACAAAGACAACACAATGGTCTACAATAATACAATTTAACATTAAAGTAGGCCTACTGTCTGTCATGAGAAAAACCATATTTCAAAATTCAATTCCATATCAATTGTTATATGTACGTAAGTTATTAACATACAATTAACAATAATTTTAATAAGAAAAAATACAACTCGTCGTTGGATTGGATTGGATTTATTCGGTGTAAACACCAAGAATAGCCCACGAAAGTCTAGAAGAAGACTTATTTCCAGTGGGGTCCTTCCGGTGGTGATTGGGCAGTAGTACATCGGGAGACAATCCCCTACTCTTTTCCGAAGAGTGTACTGCGTTCCTTAACGTGCAAATGGGCCATAAATGCACACGGGACCAACGGCTTAAACGCCATTGTAACTTGTATTTCAGTCCTCCAGCTGAAACACAAGGAGAGGCAGCGATGGGAATTGAACCGGGGACCTAGAGATCTCCACGGTTTAGCGCACACACAGTGGCTACCACCAGATTAGCCGACTGAGCTAAGCTGCTCTCATTGAAGGACAGTTAAGCAATCAATTAAAAGTTTTAATAATACATTTTTGTAAATTAGTGAAAACTTAAAACAAAAATATGTTTCTCTTTTGGAGGTTAATAACTTATTCGAACCATTTAAATGTGTATTCAAATTTTTATTGAAATTTTATTTTTTTCGAATATAGACAGTGTATGTTTCATCTAGCAGTTTAACACGAATATATTTTACCAAATATTGTTATGGTGAAATATATTATGTTAAAAATAAAGCACCCTAATAGGTTATTTAAAAGTTGAATGCTTCTATTGGTAATAATCACCTATGATATTGATTTTGTAAGTATAATTGTTTTTAGAAATAGACAGAGCAATAACACAATGGCCTCAGCTACACAGAGTGAATGGGGAAGTGGTGTGAGAACCGTGGTTGTATGGTCCTCAGAATACCGGGTCCATCTCAAGCATTTTTGGAGCCAGTTGGAGCTTGCCTTAGATGCTTTAGGTGCTTGCCTTACAAATCCGAGAGTCCTGGGTTAAATTCCCGTCAGTGGTACATGGTTTTCTTCTCTCGACCAAATATAACTTAACTCCATGAGCTTCATAATTAGTCTAGTTTATGTAGAGCACTTTTGTCTGAATGTTTGTTGTGAGAGATTGCTCTTATGAGTTGGATACCGGTAGTGATTAAGTTTGCTACTGGCCTAAAAAAAAAAAATTGGCCTATGAATCCGAGAGTGTTGGGTTCATTTCTCGGCAATGGTACCGGTACATGGTTTTTTCTCGACCAAATATAACTTCACTCTATGAGCTTCATAATTAGTCTAGTTTATGTAGAACACTTTTGTCTGAATTCATTTGTGAGAGATTGCCCCTATGAGTTGGATAGTGATTAAGTTCGCTATTGGCCTAAAAAAAAAAAAAAAAAAAAAAAAGAAAAAGAAAAAGAAAGAAAGTAGGTCTAAATCATTAAGGTAAGATTTAAATTGATCATGTACAAGAATTACATTGTTCATAGATTTTCCATCAGTTACAGGTAAAACAAAACCAATTTAACATGATTTTTTATAGAAATTTACTACGAAAATTCTTATATTGGCTTATGGCAGAATAATTTGGTTTAAGAGAATATTGTGATTTTATATTTATTTACGTCGCAGTTTTAAACACTATCCTGGGAACCCTATTCCCCACCCAAGTTCATCTTATGAAAAAACATAATGCATTCAACCGCGATTAAAACATCAATTAGGGCCAGGCTCCTGGGCATATTTCGAGAATGATCGGATAGTTCACTTGTTCCACCTTCACAAAGCGATGCTTAGGCCTAGTTAAAAAACACCCCTAGATCTAGCCCCTAATGAATATTGTTAATTAAGACCAGGGCAAGTATGCTTTATGAATATCCATTATCCACTATACTGCAGAAGACTATATGACTGTAAGTGTAAATAGTAACATGCGTGATTATAGTACTGTATCCACATAACGCCTCCGGAATTTTACTAAGTGTATTGGAATTTAGTTTGATGTCTAAATAGATAAATGCAATTATTTATGCAGTTTGTAAATTTGTTGGCTTACCGTACTAATCTTAATGATGTTGAATAAGTCTGTTGATATTGTTTATGTAATTATTCCTTATCTTTGCAGATTGTTTAATGTAAACATAAGTGATCAGTCAATGATTACTTTGAAGGGTCAGTTCGACAAAATTATCAAATTGTAGAGTAAGGTCGGAAGGTCAAGTGCAGGTTTATTATTGTTGGTGAAGCGATAATCCATGGCAAGAAAACGTAAAAATATAAAACGAATGTAAATAAAGTTCTTGGTTGGCAGGCCTAAATAAAACAGTGATGCATGCGCATTTAGTGTTACTGTTGCATTTAAACAGATGGGATCTCCAAAGAGATGGGCCTTTTAAAATTATTAAATAGTGGTACAATATCAAGTTAAACTAACGAATATTGGCAGTACAAAGCAGTTGCAAAACTAAATTTTCAGAAGAAATAAAATTGTCATAAGTATTTCTGAAGAGAACTCCTTATACACATCACCAATGAGATAGAAAACCCGATTTAATTTGAATTCATTTTGGCAAAATATCAAAAACCAGATGCGAGAAAGCGTTATTATTATTCATTACAATATGATTTAATATTCTTTAAATATGAACAAAAACGAAAAGTATTATTCTTGATACTAGTCTGGCCTAGCGTCGTAAGAGCCGCTTTAGTAGGGTTTGCGATGAGACACAATGTCTGTTTAATAACACAGGACTGATAGAAGCAATTAATGGGATTTCTATTGATGAGCTTGAGAATTAATGCATGATAATTTAGGAAATAATAAAGAAACCAACGATAGTGTCTCGGTCGTTAACAATAACATATACAATGCCTCGAAGCAGTACTTAGTCTGGGTTTTCTAACTATGTGCTAGTTGTACTTAATTTGCAACCCTACACTTCTTTTAAGAAAGTTATTTATCAACTTTCTTTCACTTGGTTATTTTTTCGTTCCTTCATTCATTCATTCATTCATTTTCTTTCTGTCTCCCACTCACTCCTTCTTTTTACATTTCCTCTTTTATTTATTGTTTATATATTAATTAATTAATTCTTATTCCGTTTGATAAAGGAATCAAGGTTTATACGCATTACATGGTGATATGGTCTGTGATTAAAGTTATGATGGCTTTACATCAATAGTGTAACATACAATACCTCTGTTTAAATTATAAAAAAAAAAAAGAATTAAATATAAATTAAGATAGGTTTAAGCCCCTATAAATAAAAACTTTATTAGTTTAGATATGTTTAAGCCCCTATAAATAAAAACTTTATTAGTTTAGATAGGTTTAAGCCCCTATAAATAAAAACTTTATTAGTTTATCACCCTATCTAGGCTGGAAAAGTGATAAGGGAGGGAGGCTTTTTATTTCCATATTTTATTTTACTTAATGCAAATAACACCCTTGGATTGTTTGCTGGTGCTTTTATGGGTGATAAGCGGTGAGGGTGATAAGCAAATCATTTTTTTATCAGGCCTAAACTGTGGGATATGATCAGTGATGATTATTTTAACACTAAGGTCATTTGAAGTAAATGTTGATGTGTTATTATGTTTATATTTGTTGCACATGGTTTTTGATTATGAATGTTTACATTTTTAAAATGCATAGGACTAAGGTGGTATTGAGATGACTTGCGATGTCAACATCACCAACTCCACCAACATCATCATGAACAATATAATAATCATCATCACCACAAATATAATAACGTTCACCTACACTGACACATAACAATCAATGTCAATATAACCATCATCTTCATCATCATCAAAAACGATGACTCAAGAAAAACATGAGACAACATCAATTATCTTGATTAGTAGAAGTATCAACTACTTTATTATTTTTATTTATTTATTTATTGTGAACAACAACACAGCTATCCTCTCCTGTCTAACACTGCCTAGAGACCGCCAACAACTGAAACCAAATCAGATGGCTTTGTCACACGTGAAGTATATTTAACTACTGTTTATGACCAAGCTTGATAGAGAACCAAAGTAAAATATAGGTTGATTAAATATTGCAGCGGGTGGACCAATCAAAATTCACTATACATATTTCTTTCGACGTCCTTTGTTTTTAACTCATTAACATTCTAATCGATAATCTCTTGAGTAAAAATTAACATTCCATAGTATATTCTCAACTCACGAATTTAATAAAACATTGCAATTTGATCAGGTGGAACAGAATGGATCAAACCATTAATTTTATCTTATCTCAACAAGCAAAAAACTAACTACACAACCATAAAGACCACCCTCTATGGTTTGATGCAGCCATGGTCATTCTAGTTGGGAGGATCAATTCCATGCAACTCTTTAATCTGTGCTTTCTTTTCCTAGTGTATTGGAAATCAACGGCAAGATGCACAAGCAAAAAATACGCTGTGATGCTGTGGGCTTAGCGATAATCAAGCACAAATAGGCAATAATTGCTATTAATGATAATACTTTTTTCTATTGACCAGAAACATGCAACTTTTATATGCAGTATGCACTAATAACTTTCAGTCTCTCTTGTTAGATTTTCAAACAAAAATAAAAAAACAGGTGAATAAGATGTATTCCAGACAATAATACTATTACTTCGTATGCCAGTATTATGGGACAAAATACAAACATATGCGTTGACAGTTTGTCTCATTTGCACAAAGAGTCTGTCGGTGCGATCTATACAATTATATAGTCATAAACATAGACAAGTGAATGAAAAAAATAAACCACCCCCAGTACAAATGAACAAACAATAGCAAATGGCAAACACACTCTTGTAATTGAACACACACAGAGTTTTTGAATAATGATATATGCATCATACAAAGACATTATATTTAAATATATGTATGTTGTATACCATCAATTTCGGGAAATCTCTTTAATAGAAATTAATGTCCAAACAGTTAAATTTTGGGCCACAGCTTATAAATTTTTCATAATAAAATTGGTAATATTAATTAAGATTGATTGCTCGTTAAAGAATATCCGTGTTCTTAGAGCTGATGTTTCACATTTAAAACCATAATTATTAAATAATTTCAATGGTCATCATAGAATTTACATATTCTTTTTTTAGAGTTGATGTATCATCTTTAAACTGTAATTAGTAAATAATATTGAATTCTCATCACATCACAAAATACCATGTTCACTCCATAACCGACATTTGCATACGATAGAAGATAGATAGAACATAGGATGGAAGGTGTCTGTTTACAAGTGCTTATACGATGTTCGTTTCCTATTTCACTTGGAGGCCAATGACATGAAACAGATTATCAAGAGCAACCAGCCCATTTTCGAAGACATTATACGTTAATTAATAGCTACACAAAACATGAGCTGCCAAGAATAAAAAAAGAATTTCTATTAAACGTGGTGTTATCGTTCCAGTTTCCAACAAGAGATGAACTGATTGGCTATATATAGAGAACATCTGTACAACAGATAGCTGCCGATTAGCCACTTTGTTAAAATTTCTTTATTTTATTAGAAATTGCCTGTTCACTAATAATGGTAGTACGGTAATACTAGTAACACAAAGTTGACCAATCTTCATAGGTTTTTTTTTGCACTATATCCCAGAAAATACAAAGCTGAATAACAACATAACAACAGTTGTCCTTCGATGAGTTATCCGGTTGTTTAATTTTCATCACTAGCCAGTTTACTATCCCATAGTAGATCCAACTATTATTGTCTTCGTTCGCTTTCACCGTGTTTCCAAGGCTAGGCCATGGGTGTGAGCGTTGAATATGCTGACTAGCGATTGTAGTTTGTTAGTGGAACCAGCTCCGTTGGCCACGTTGCACGCACATCACAAGATACCGCTGACTTGTGTCCAAGCAGCAACTCCACTTCATTCCTGTAGTTAAGGTACAGCATGTGGTAGAAGGTACGAAGAAATCCGAAAGCTCTCATCCGAGCCTGCTCTCCAATGTCACTCACGTGTCGTGGTGATGTTGTTTTTGTTGTTGTTGCCGTAGTAACATCTCCAACGGCGATGGTTCTGATGAAGAACCGATTGGGCTTGACCAAATTGACTATTAATGATGTAAAAAAGAAGAAATTTGATTTGAATATTTAAATAATAATCAGAATATATAATTAGCATACAAATTTATAACACAAATTAATGCAATAAAATAACTATGTAAATATAATTGTCATAATTTACCAACTGATTAACCTAATTTAGATGCCTTGACTTTACATCAACTATCACCTTTATCCACAGTTGATCTCATCCCATTGTATGTTATCAACATCATCCTATTCTATGCTATCCCATCTCCATTACTATCCTTATCCCATTAACTTGACCATCCTCATGCCATCACCAAATCTACTGCATAGCCATCCTCATCTGAAATTCCATTGTCTTTACTATCCTCATCCTCACCCCCATCACATACTAACCAATTCTAGCCTCGTCCTAATCATGATTCTCATTATCCACCTCAAACATTATCCACCACCACCTCCAACCCAAACTTCATTCAAATCCCCATCTCCATCCTAATTCCATCCACATCTCAACCTCATCGTCATTACAACAACCACACTCATCGTCATAATTATCAACAAATACGCTGCATTAGTTTAGTAAAACACTACACATTGTAGTCCTGTTGTACATCGATCTATTTATTATACATTCAATATCAACATACATTTTTATATAACCTTAAAGGATAAGAACCTGTTTAAAAGATACAATAATGCTGCCACATATTCAAGCACAATAAAGTAGGTAATCTTTAAGATAAAAATCAACTTGTAAACCAGCTCTACTCCACAAGAACATAAAACAATCATTAATACATGTTTCTCTTTGTACTAGATATCAGATTCTTGTCATGAGCCTCTACGGACAAATAGATAAAAGTGCACGTCACAGGTGGAATTTTGATTTGCTAACGTGTCACATACCTGATCCCGCACGTGTACTTACCTGAAGTCTCTCCGGTAATAAACTGCTGGTTGGCGAGCTAGATAACTGATGCGAGGAGCCCCAGACGTTGTTGGTTCTCTCATCGCGCCAACTGAGCCCTATGCCAGGCAGGTTTTCTGTCAGGCCTAACGTTCCTTGGTGGATGGGTGACTGGGAACGTGGTGTGGCATTTGGACTCGTTGGTTGACTGACAAAAGGTGAAGATGGTAGCACAAGATCTAATGGAGAATAAAAGAGCGGAATTTAATTATTTAATAACAAATCATTCAAGATATACTGCCTGTATGCAACAAAAACCTAGAACATGCAATTGCTCATCTGTACAGTAATGTGTCAACTGGCAGGAAAAATAGTTTCTACTTATATTCTCAACTGAAATCTAAAAAGTAACCTAATAAAAAGTCAGCGATTTGAATATTGAATTTTATTCAGTTTCAAAAGAACACAAATCAATCAATCAAATAAACAATCAACCAATCACTCAATTGATCAGTCAATTGATACTTCAAAATAAAATAAATCAATCAATCAATCACACATCAAATAAAAATAGGTTCCTAAAAGGAAATTGGCATATCAGTTCATTAAGGTAAGTATTCACGAAATAGACATTTAATGTTTAGATATAGAATAGTGTATTCATTATTTTCATACAATTTGTTTTAAAGGTACTGTATAGGCAACAAACTACAATTACAAAGGTAAATATCTAAATCAGAAGAGAACCGAAAGTTATGAAAAAGACAACCTATCCATTATGAATGGACTGCTTTAATGCAAAATAAACTGCCATTGGAGTACAAAACAAATTAATCGGTATTAATAATAAATAAAATAGTAATTCCATACAATAAAAACTGCCACAGTAAAAGCTCCTTTAAGTAGTGAGGGAAAGAAAGCGTACTAGTCATAAACACAGTTATTACTGATGTTACATTCCAAAATGGACTAAAGAGATGACCTAGATGGGAATATTGCATAGGTGAGAGAATCGAGGTAACATCAGAAATTGTAAGAGTACTGGTCATTTCGTTTTTATCCTTCCCTGGACACAGTGTGACATAAAAACAAACATGGACCCTTCCAACAAAGAGAGAATTCGCATAAAAATCTCTACAAAGTAGTGAAAATAGATGTCAATAAAAACACAATAAAAATAAAATGTAGAATACTGGTCATCTAATGTTTATCAGTCCCTTGACACTGCCCAACATCAAACAACAAACACAGACCCTCCCAACAAAGAGAGCATTCGCACCAAAATCTCTACAAAGCAGTGAAAATAGATGTTAATAAAAATGCAATAAAAATTAAATGTCGTAATTCGTTGAAAAATGTCCACAGTCTCAGCATACACACTGGATTTAATCTTTCAGCACCGAACCTACTGCTACAAGATCGTAAAAGCATCCGAAGCCGTGGAATAAAATGGGTAATGGATTTATTGCTGTAATATTGTCTTTACTACGGATTACGTTTCTGTAGGGAATATAAGCCGATATACATCGTCCTGTCATTTTGATTAAATGAATATCAAATAACATGATGTGGTAGCTATGTTTTATTAACTCGGCTCTATATCTGAAATATGTAACAAGGTAACATAGTACAGACCCATTTATATGGAATTCACAAATTCACACAAATTTTTTTTTGTACAGAAAGGAAAATGAAATGATCCGGTGAAAATAGGTCTAGGTATACGTAATGAGACTTAAAATAGATGTGAAAAATAACAGGGTTTAGAATGAGGACAGGTTGAAAGAAATCAAGTCTGGGGCAATGAATGACAATGTTACCAAAAAACTATAATGATATAGTATAACTGGATCAATGATGCATGTCAGAGTAAGGTACATTAGGGAACTGGAAAACACGAATATATTAGCAGAATCCAAACACTAATAAACATCATATTCAAAAACGTTCGATCTATCAGACCAGCTACTTTAGATTTTTTAATGCATTTGTTAGTATTTAAATTTGAATGTTCAAAATCAATAGGATAATTTGATTGGTACCAGTTTACTGTTAGAATTGCAAATGTCAAATGTGAAATCAGGTTGTATACTTTTCCACTGAATAACAAGCTTGCTTTCGAAACATATATTGGCATGAATAATCATGAATTAACAGCCAGTAACTATTATTGCCCTTGTCAATGCTAAATATAACGCACTTGACCTTCTGCAGATCGAATGAACATCTATACGCATAACCTTAGGACAATGAGAATTTCGACTACTGCCTAGTTCTTTCAATAATAAAACTAAAACGAGAATTGCTGACTGCTGGAAGAGGATATCCCTGGGGATACTGAATATGTAGGTCGACGCATAATCTAGCTAATGATGGAAAATGCGAGAAATACCGTGTACATTTGCATGTATCGTGAACCGTCAGTAATTGGCCGCCCCTACATTCGTCAGGCATCATATGATTTTACAGGCCGTCTGGTTTTTCTCTCATCAGTTTTATGCTTCTACTTAATGAAACTAGAGCTTGCATTTTCACACCAGTAGTGTGAAAACTTGAGGGCGCTCAATTTGAATAATGCAACATTACAACTGTGTTTAATTGCAAACAATGACCTTTACAAGAATTTAATCAGTATTTATTTGGTTTTACATTATGAATATTATGTTACAACCATTACAGTTGGTCATCTTGAGTATTGTTTTTGTCATGCTTCTTATATTATATAAAATTTCTACAGAGAAGCATAAAAGAGGGAGGCAAAACAGAGGAATGCATAGCAAATACAGAATGCATGCTTCAAGATAAAAATGTGTGCATAACTGAGAAAGAGAGGGGTGCCTGGCAGAATGCCTACCAGCAAAAGTCTTTGTAGGACCTCCCCCATTATTTCTGTTGTATATTATAGTTGTTTCTTATTCCATCTGTACAGTTTCCTGATGAAGTCCACTGTGTGGACCAAAGCTGGAGAATAAATTCTATATTGTTAGTCTCAAAAGTGCTGCTGTCATTTATTTTATAATGAACAAGCAAAAGGCAACTTAGTTGTGCAAAGAAAGATGCATATTGACGAAAAGTTAAAATAATCCAGTCTTAAATCCTTCCTCTTCAAATAGTTCAATTTCTTTCTAACATCTTCCAGCTACGGTGACAAGCCAGTTTTTGTTTGCTTTAATAGGCACTTTAAAATGTGTGTTATTATTATTATTATTATTATTATTATTATTATAATTCAGAAAAATAAAAATAAAACTGGACAAAGAAAACTGCTGAAGAAATTGTATACATTCACATTTATATGTTAAAACCATGTTGTATTTGAGCTCAAGAAGTTAAACTAACTTGCTTACTTATAGTAGTAGAGTGGCGCTTCTAGGAGTCTTGCAATGAGGGGAGGGGGACGGGAGGGAGGAGCTGATGGGGATATGAAGGTGAAGTGGCTTGATGGGTAAGTGAAGGAGAGCTAGCCCGCAAAATAAGGTGATATGAGGTGATTTTTATCTATTTCATATCACTCGAATCAATGGTGAAATAGGGCACAAGGTTTTTTGGGTGCTCAGATGCACACCTCTAGATATGCCACTGAATAAGTACTGCATGTCATTAGGCCTAGCTTATAATTGAAAATTAAATCAAGGCAATATTCTTTTCACCAATTAACACTGATCCTTACTCATTCAATATTAGTACAATTACCATTACCAAACATTGTTAATCAAGGTTTACTACCAAAATTATAATATTAAAGTAACTAATCAACATAAAATTATTTTTACGAAAAAAACAAAAAACAAAAAAAACTTACTATCACCTTGACCTGCTGTCCAGGGGGAGGGAGTGAAGAGGGTGTAAGCACCAGTTGACCTTATATTTTCCTCAAAAAATCTGCAATAAATCATACACTTTTTACAAAGATAATATGGCATTCAATATTTACTTTATTTATTTATTCAAATTTCTTTATAGAGGTGATAATATATACACATCTAGATGTGTATAAGAGACAGATATTGCATAGGTGAGAGAATCGAGTGGACCCACTTTTAAAATGTGGTCCCATTCTTTGTGAACCCAATAGAAAACTTGTGTGGGACTGTCCCCACTGTCCCAATAGCTGGCTACGGCATTGTGCCCTATGAACAATCAGACATGACAATCTGTACTTGTGTCTTGAATACTTATTTTCATAATTATCTTTCTCAAGGAATTGCATGTTGATAATCATCACTTCACAATCTTGGTATGGAAAACTCATTAAGATGATGATTGATATAAAAAAAAAACAACTTATATTTACTCATCGCTGAGAGAATATTGTCTCCTCTGTAATATGTTTAATAAAATTTCTTCTGTTTTTTTTTTTTTTTGCAGCTGAGTAATACCTCAAAAAAGTTGTGTTTCTTTCATGCAAAATTTGTCGATACTGTAAATTGTAAATTTCAGTGTGTGTGTGTGTATATGATATATAAGTAGCAATTTCATACGATATTCTTGGATGCAATAATTTCTACTTTTCGTTAAAGTGCGTGTGTATATCATACCTGTTTCATATGAAGCTTTTAGATATAGTACATTGTGCATATTATTGTACATACACGTAGATCTACATGATGATAAGCACTGCATCAAATCCAATCGATATTCACCATCAACTAATTAAACGTACGGCACCCAGAAAAATATGATGACAAGTTATGAGAGAACCGCTTAAAACAATCAACAGCGTATTAAAGTTACAGGACAAAGGAGTAATTAACGCCATTCAAAAGTACAGAAGCATCAATAGGTGATACCTTATACCAACTCGTTACATATTTTGTCTCTTTTTACCATAAAAACAGCTACCCTATCTTACGGATAATGTATACAAATGAATTATTTGGACATACATCAATTGTAACTAGATTTTATGTGGTGAAATAGTAATTGATAAGCATGGCATAGCATTCGTTTGACACAGTGTTAATGGCAGGCTAATTGCTTATGTCCTACGCTTAATCTTGGTTTACTCAAGTCTAGCGGATTTTTCAGGTTGATATGAACTTTCTCGCGAGGTTATTTGTCATGGATAACTCAAGCTTATGTGACTTCTAAAGTATCAGAATTTGATTCCCAATATTTCTTTTTATTGAGTAGTGCTTAAGTTTTAAGACAGATTGAATGATGAATCAGATAAAGTTTTTTTGAGCGTTATCAAGTGTTTTGTTTTGTGTATTATATTTATAGCACTTTTACAATGGTATTACAGTGTGTTAAAAATTCTTGACAGATTGAATTTGTTGAAGCTATGTAGCTTCATCTTTATTGTACAAATGTCTACATTTATTGAACTGAAAGAAACACCTAATCCTATGAATCACCAATAGTGATGTATAAATAGAGTGTATTTTATATTCTTTTTTGTTTGTTTCCATACCATCATGTAGTAAACACACTACCAATTATATGATCATTATTGTCAACAATATAAAAAAAAAAAATATATATAAAAAGTATTATCATTATAATATTAAATTATTATCCTAATAATTTTTATCATTACCATAATATTTTCATTACCATTTATTAATTTCAACATGATAATCATTGTGATTATCAATAATAAAAATTATAATTGTCATTATAAGTGTAGATATTAGTATCAAAGATATCTCACCCTGGTTTGCTGCCACCAACGTTATTGAATCCATGAGCTCTATTTCCAGTGTTTTTGGTGCTGTCTAACCCTGGGAAGGTGATTGCAAGTCGTTGATTGTTGACAGCTGGGCTAGGTGTCTGCCGAGGTGAGGGGATGCGATCATCTGGAGTCTAGTAATTGAAGAGTGGAAAACATAGTGTAACAAACAATATACCAAATTCATTGGGTATATTGCAAAAGGTCAAAATTAATGAAAATATGTTCCCAGTGGAAGAATTTGTCTATGCCCTATACTGCCTTACTGTACAGGTATTATGTTTACTAATAAAGTAACCACATGGGGATTTAGTTATCAGGAAATGTGTGGTGTTGTTTAATCTAGTGATTTTTTATTGAACTTTCTAGGACAGTTCTTATACTGTATTCATTTTTATCTTTAGTTTATCACTCATCCCATCATTCCTCCATACCGATTTACTCAATTTTACAGGTTTAACTGCTAGACATAGACATAGTTTAGTGTCATATGAGGGTATGGAAATATATATTTAATATTGTTTAGCTACCTCTGCCAAGGAGGTTGTTTTTACCCCTTTTTATTTATTTGTCTGATTGTTGATCTGTGAACTGCCTACAGGCCACAGTTTTCATCAGAACTCCTCACACTTGGTCATGATCCATGACCAAAAATCTGGAGATGATTCGGATTTTGAAGTTTCAAGCTCACAGGTCAAGATCACAATCAATGAAAAACTACTTTTCTTTATAACAGCCTACAGCCAACAATTTTTATCAAAAATTTGTCAAACTTGGTCACAATGTTTCATGACCAACAATCTACAGATGATTATAATTTGGGTCAAGGGTCAAGGTCACAATCTACGAAAAACCTACTTTAATAATATAACAGCCTTACAGTGCAGGTTTCATCAGAAACTTGTCAAACTCGGCCACAATATGCTGTGACCAAATTTCTGGAAGTGACTAAAATTTTGAAGGAAAAAAATGAACGATAAACTAGTTTTTTAACTGTCTGATGTATGGACGTGTGTTTGTGTACTTACAGGGTTTGCAAAAGAAGTGTAACAAAGTGGTATTAATTTTACAGCGATTCATTTGAAAACAGTATGGTGCAGTACAGTAGTTAGAAGAGTGTTTTCCACACTACCGACCCGGGTTTGAATCCAATGTTGTTTGTTTTTTTTATATTATCTTTTATTTCATTGTCAATACTAAAGATAACATCTTATACTGGTCAAGCCATTTCGGCATCAGCACTGCACTGAATACATTTTTTTCATGGGGACAATATGTGTGGGAAATTTATGCAGAGGAGAATTACGATGTGGGCGGCGGTGTGCAATCTTCCTTGATCACATCTTTTCTAATAATGTTTTTTTCAGCTTTGTAACATGAAGATGAAACCCTACTTAGCTACATCAGTGCCCACGAGTTTAAAATCTTAAATTTATATGAAGAAAAACAAAAGATTGATTTACATTTTATCTGAGTGCCTCCCTATTGAATGTACCCTAGTATGATTTGAGTTGATGACTTTGCTATGAACTCTTTCAAGAAGTCAAACATTAAACAATCTCTGTATAGTACTATTCTCCGGCTGTACAAAAATGAATCTTTACTGTCTGATTAGATCACTTGGCATGAGAAACAAAGTTTGATCAAAGTTTCACATACTGTAACTACTTTAAGTTTGATCAAAGTTTCACATAAATACTTTTAAATTTGTTGTACATCTCAGTCACAGAATTTGAGATTTTGCTCAGTGCTAAATTGCACTGCTTTTGGTCATGCACATACATTCATAATGAATGGCAGTAGATTTTATTCAAATTGAATTCAAACTAAGGTGAACTACAGTACCATATAATAAATAGACAAAAATGATTGAATTAAAAGTAAAATAAGACTAATAATTTTCCTTTACATTACATAAAGTATTTTTAAACTATGCCTGTAATAAATGCATTACCATACATTATATATCATTATAAATATGTACTATAAATGATATGATACTGCATAATAATTCAAAAATAAAGAGAACTAAACTAAAATTAATGGCAATGCCATTCCTATTTTAAATTTTGAGTTTGTGTAGGAAGCATGGTTGAAGAAAAAAAAATTCATGTGCATCCTGATATCTTCCATTCTATATGCACAGTACAGTATTCAAATACAGTAGAACCTCGTTTTTACGTACCCCAGTTATACAAACCCTCGGTTTTACGTACGTATCGACGATGATGTCATCAAAAATCCCGAAAATATTCAAAGCAAACGGCCCTTTTCAGAGCAACCATAAGTAAAAAGACTATAACAATAAACTATAACAATAAACAAATCATAATGCAACATATTTTTATTAAACAGTAATGTTGATTGAGTCTATACCGGGTTGTTATAATCTAAAACCACGTGAACTGAGTGAGATGAACAACTACCGATGGTGCTAAAAATAATTGCTTTCCTCCTTAGCTTCGTGTGGCTAACCTTAAGAAAATTTGTCTGGTCAAATTTTCTACACGAAGCTGAGTAGGCATAGTTTCGTACACGAACGCCAATTGGTTGCCTCGTCCAGTGCATTGCACGTGGTTGCTGTTCGTACATGAACGCTAATTGGTTGGCTTGCCCAGTGCAGCGCACATGGTTTTAGTTTGTCTCAACAGGCCCAGACAACACCACAGCTCTGTTGTTTAGAATAGGCATGAAGGGAATTCCCAAGTTTTAACTTTGTCATAGGTAATCTTACAATATTTTCATGTTCTTTAGTTAAATAAAAGGTATAAAGTGATGAATAAAAACACTAAACACATGGTTTTATTCGTAGGCCTAGAGGCTAGGTCTAGCCTAGGTAACATCGTTCGTTCATAACATACGTTTATTGAGCGTTACGTACCTATTAGGTCAAAGGTTACCACAAATTTAACCCAACCTTAATTTTACGAATCCCCTGATTTACGTACGCCCTACAGTCCCTTACCATACGTAAAATCGAGGTTCTACTGTACTGATTTTACTGAAATTCATTAGCTCAACATACATACACAGCAAGTAGAATATAGAGGGAGGCATTGCAAACTAGCTAGGACAGGAAAAAAAAAAATCAATAAAGGTGGATTCTATTTATCATTAGCATATAAAATTTAGTGTGGAGTTTATGCCAAATTATATAGGATAAATATATGAATAAATTTAGACACAAAACAATGTGTATATAAAGTAATTCAATTGGTCTTAGTTAACTAAATAATTTGAGCTGGGGCCCTAGCAGTTATCGTACAGCACCACCCCAGGGGATGAATTGGACAATATACTGGGGAAATATTATGTGTATATATGTGCACATGGGTTATGTTTTACAGAGACTATCTGAGCTTAGATATATATAGCATCTGTACTGAGCTAAAAAACTAATATATATAAATAAGTTATTAGCATTCAATCAAAAATTAGAACAAGAAAAATTGGAACAAGAATATTTTTCCACCAACCAACGGACATATAAATAATGACATTCCTATTATTGTTAAATTGGTTTGTACAAAAATGTCCATAATTTTAATTTCAAACACTAAAAACAGAATCATTTTAGTGCTAATTGCATCGGGCTGTGTTGTACGACACTGACTGAGTTGGCCTTTAGAAGTTGAGAAGTTTTTAATCCTTTTAAACAAGCAATTTATATTTTTATTGCGTTTTTGAGGTATTTTTCACAAATTTTAATACAGAGAATATATTTCCAAAGATGTGCCACTATAACTTGTATTTAACAACCCTGAGGAAAGCAGATTGATGGATAAAACCAGAAAGTCTCCTTGGTTAAGTGAAAACACTGTAGAATTTAGTAACATTGATTAAACTGTGCAAAATAACATGCAGCATATGAAACAATATATTAGGTAAGAAAACAAAATTTGACTTACCACCAGCTTAGGTGCCATATTTTTTGACCCATCATTATTCATGGGATACCCATATCCATACGGTGGCTGAAATGGACTTCTATCATCGCTAAAATTAACCTCCTGATCCATGGCGCTGAAGAAGTCACTCAAGGCTCCTTGCCTCAGATGCATATTGGTCTCCTGATGGTCAAAGTCTGGTGAGAATGGCCCATTAGGGATGAAGCCAAGAGAAAGCTTACTCCCTTTGCTTAGATCTGTCATACCAATGAAGTTCTTGTTGGCTTCCTCTCTCAATGCTTGCATGGTTGCTGTATTCTGAGCATTTGTGGCTGGCATTCTTGAATTCCGACCATTGAAATGGTTGAAACCAGTTGACTGAGCCTGTCTGTCCATATTCACAGGATTAAACTGTCTTCCAGCACTTATTTCCGCAGCAGAGGGAAAGACAAATCCGTCCATGCTCTGAGGTGACTTGGTTGGTGTGCCTACTCTTGGATGATTCATCATGACATTCTGATTCTGCATAGACATGGGCTGCGGACTTTGTGGAGAGGGTTGTCGTGCTCGTAATGGGTACTGACCTGTGTGTGATTGACCGCAGCCAGGATTGTTCAAAGGTCGTGACGTGTGCATATTAGGTTGAGAGGAGGTGGGTGAATTCAACTGCGTGGGACTCTCCGCAGGACGATGAAATGGTGCTGGTGTTCGATGGTTGAACATCTCATGGGGCTGGTTTGGTGGCCCCGAATAGCGACCCTGCCAATCATACTTGGGAAGCTGTTGGTAGGATTGTCTTCCATCACCTGGATTTGACCACTGATTAGCCGAACGTCCCTGTAAATTTCCATGATGCTGGTCTCCTTGCCACGGCAGTCCCTTATTCCAGTTTGCTTGTGGAATCCTACCAGGAATTGGATTGTTCTCTTTAGAACCTTGAGAAGTTTGGGGATAACCTGGAGGTTGTTGACCACCAGGGTAGTTATGTCTTGGGGGATTGGTTTGTGAGGGGCTACGCTGGGGAGATGACCAGTTACCACCTGGGCTGCCTGGCATTCCATGAGACCCGATTCCCTGATCTTGCATATGAGGTTGAGGGTGTCGATATCTTGGATTCTGATATTGTCCCTGCGGTATTTGTCCTGAAGAGTTGAAGCTCTGATATGGGCCTGGGTTGTTGGTGCCAGCACTGCTGCTTCCCTGCCAGGACTGAATGTTGTGCATAGTGTTTGCATGAGGCTTAGGTCCTGAATGGAAGTGGGGTGGGCCTTCAGGCTCCCAGTTGCTGACCGGTGATTGTATAGGGTTCTGCTCATGGAACACTCCAACAGGCTGACGGCTTGGGATCGAAATGGATGGGGGGCTACCGATTGGGGTAATTGAAGAATCTGATTCAGACGATGTCTTCTTCCTTGGCAGAATCGCCTGCAGTTTTTTAAGAAAAATATATAGAGGGTAGTAAAATCTTTTTGTATTCATATATTACATATTTCATGTATGTAATTGAATATGTATGCATTCATGTATTATAATCTAAATTTATTTTTTAGATTAAGATTTTTAATGCCAATGACCCACTTAATTTAACCAAATTGACCCAATTTAATAAATTATTAAATAAAAATGAATTCAAATAAATAAGTAAATTTATCCACCTGCACAGCAATACTTTGAGTTTTTGAGTCTGGACGCTTGTTTTCTGACCGTCTATCTTCATGAATAATTTCTTCAATCCCAGCAAATTCCACCTTCCTAGGGGGTCCTTCTCTACCTTTCTTCAATGCTGTCTTTAGGTTAGTATGTGTCTGGATCTTGCTCTCTGGTCTAAGTAAGATAATTATGAGTATAGAAAAATTTACTTCTTAAATAGGCAAAGTAAAAAAAAAATGCATGTTCCTATGCATGATACATGAGCTAGGTATACAGTAATTTCATTTTACAGTAGTTTGGAACGATATCAGGAGTGGGGGTGGTGGCAGTGGCCTACTAGGACTACAATTTATTTGAAGCTATCTTGGGTCCGATCGTATGTCACCCGAAGTTTTCATTACGATGATTAAGAACGTATACTATCTAGGCCCTAGGCTAGGCTTGGATTGCTGCCGTCACTCTGCTACGTATACTACTACCGCATAACAAAGAAAGCGACCCACGCGGTGCATTCTTAAATTTTACACACATTATTAAAATGTATTAGACGATAACACGATATCACTGACTGAACGATCTACCACCCTCGCATTGCAGTAACTACTGTACTGAACTAGGCCTAGCTTAGGCCTAATGTTTTTGTAGAAAGCTAGATAGTCGTTATGTACCCAACAGTCGGCTGCCTTTATATCTTCACTTGTCTTCAATTTGCATTCAAAAGGTACATTGCTGCATAGCCAACTGTCGGGGATATAGTACCTTTATATGACTACTTATGCAACAGAAAAAAACGTCGCATGGAGTTAGTGAAAAATGGAGATCTAAATGGAAAAATGATGTATTTCAGCAAGTATTAAAACCTTTTAGTTTTATTTTAGGCCTTCTTCAAAACACCTATGCCACAGCAGTTGATTTTTTTTTGCCGTAAAACCACACTAGTTTCATCGCGAGGTAAAACAAAATGTCGGAAAACTTTTCTTTGACGCATGCGCATTTGCATAAATGTCTACACACACACGCACACACATACTACACACAATAAAAAAACAAAGGAAATGTGAAGAGTGATACAATAGTTCCTATTGCATTACATGCATAGGAACTAAAAATTAATTTCTAGCCGCAGTTTTTTTTTTATTTTCAACATTGGGTTATCTACTTTGGGCTGAGAATAATGGATTCATAGTTACCAACCATCTCGCACTGTACGGGACGGTCCCACATTTCAAAGTGATTTTGAATAAAACTTGCATTTTGCAGAAACACATGCGTGATCATAAATTTGTCACGCATTTAGCACAAGTCTATTCGTGATAATATTGCGAATTAAGAAGAAAATGTATTTAATTTATTTCCATTCCTGATGATGATCTAATAAAAGATCGAAATATTGAATCACAATGAGTCTTACTTTATTTGGAGTATGTTTTATACTAAATTAAATGTATTTAAAATAAGAAGAAATTGGTTTTATTCATGCAGTAACTTGAGTCATTAGAAAATTAAACATACATTGAAACTCAAATTGTAAGTGGATTTATTAAAAATATTTATGTTTATATACCCAGTATTGTCAACAAACACTCCCTGAAATCGTTTTAAAACAGCTTAAATATGTTCAGATTGGCCCCCAGCCAATTGGTCACTCACGCATTTTAAACCTTCCTGGTTGGTAACTATGTGGATTCAATTTTAATCACATAATGACTTGATTTGAATTTGACATTAAACAATTAACTATATAATTTGAGAACAGAATTAAGTAATTAAAAAAAAATTACAAATGGCTTTAAGCAGAGGATTAACATAATTTAGAACTTACTTCGGTTTTGAAGGCAACAACTTCTGTTGTTTAGACTTCTGCTGCTGTTTTCTCACCTGTTCTTCACTTAGTGCACAAGTGAAGATCAGCTTACTTGATGTTTCAGCTCGTTCAGATTTCATTAAACTACAAAAAAAGCATTCAAATTTAAAAATAATATAAATTTGGTAAAGAGTAAACTCTTCAGAATGGCAACAAAAACTACAAACTCATCAATTTCTGATGCAGCATACATTCGATTAACTAGACCAGTCACCTATCTCATGGAAAATGGTTACCCTGTTCATGTACAGCTATGCACTTTGTCCATTGAGTCAGTGATGTAAGAAAGAGGGGTGGGATTGATTGGGGGTAACTAGCATTGTAAATGAGGTGTTTTTAATAGAGGAATTCGGCGATGTTGGCTTACAGTCGGTCATGTGACCTATGGTGGGTGTACCATGAAAAACATTACAGTGCGATCAGTGTGAAAGTATAGGAAAATGTAATGTTGTGGTTTCGAAAACAACCATCCACTGTTAACATAAATAAATGGCAAGGAAAGGCAAATAATTGTTCAAAATAGTGTTTATTTACTTATTCTAGTGTTCTCCTTACATAGAATACTTTGAAATTTGTGATCCTTCATAAACCTTAGCTGGAGTAGAAATCGTAGCATAGTTGCGGGTCATAGACTCTCTTGCATACCTAAACAGCCCTTAGATATGCAGGGGCCTAGGCCTAACATTTTTTGAAATATCTCAAATTCCCTTGGACGACAAGTCACACAAAGTTTGTGTGGTGAATTTTTGGATATCAAAAGAATGAATACAGTAATTATTACAGCAATAACATGAGACAGCCACCATAGTAATCTCCGCTGTGCCAGTCCATTGTTTACATCTAACACCCAAGTTGTGTCACGTGACGCCCATTGCCAAATGTCTCTATTATTTGAATGTAATTTTATTGCTCAGGAAGTTTTCAGTAGTGGGAAGCAAACATTTGTGTGGAACGGTGTTCTCAGGCATTCTTGATAAACCACAACATAATGAAGCTCCTCCACTATCTACTAATCTTAGTACAAGCAGCTGCTCATTTAGTTATATATTTTGTTATATATATTTCTTTGCTTACCCTGACTGGTTTTCTACCAGCCACTTTCCATGTTGTACAAGACGACAAACTCTCTCTCTACTCTCCATTTCTGAATTTAGTTTAACCTGGTTGAACTCATCAAAGTTTAGAACACTGCAAAAACAAAAATACACAAATCAATCGTGATGTTGGTAGTCTATGAGTGAGATACTTACCTGGATAACCTTCCCTCCCTTCCTTTAGGGAATGAGGACGTTTGTTAGGGAGACGGTTCGCACATGGCGCCTTGGGTCGGACTGTTCCATTTTTTTTTTCGAAGGGGTGTTCCGTTTTGGGAACAATGGCAATTAGTCGGTTATCCAGGTAAGTATTCACGAAATAGACCACATAAACCGTTGGGGATGAGAATTCAAATATGTTACAAATATTCCTATAATCTTCAATACCTGACTAACTATACTATGGTTCATTTATTTTCATTCAATTTTATTGTTTTGAATTATAAAACAAAAACAAAGGCCTCAAAATTGGTTGTGAATTAATTATTATGGACAAGCGGAGCTGTACGCATCTAACGTTTGTGTTATCCAGCTTGGAAAGCGTGTCTGGCCGCTTCTTGCAAGTATACTCAAGAGAACATTATTCTGTTTATTATGCCATGGCCTTTATTCTATTAAATCCATTCAGTGTACGTTGTATTTTAATAGTAGATGAGTTGAGCCTTTTCTGCTGTATGAATGGTAATTATATTGTGTCGGTTTAATGTACAGTTGTCTAACTTGCAGGCACAGAAAGGCAGCTCCATCTAGACTTTTGTGACATGGTCTGTTTTGTAAAGTTGGTTTTTATATAGTGCATCACGACAAGCCTTTTCTGTGCTTCAGATTATTAGACATCAGATAACACATTGAACCTACTGGGTGCCTACTTATAGTTGTGGGTGGGAAAAAACACATCGTTTAAAGTGCTTTTCCCAAGAAAATGAACTCGAATGGCTGAGCGGTTAGCAGGGGCGCTGCAACCTACAGCCATAATATCAGCGCTGGTTCGAACGGCACGCTCACCTATGGTTCTGGTGGTAGAACAAGTCTTCTCGGATAAGGACTATAAACCGTAGGTCCAGTGTATACTATGGCTTGTGTGCACTATAGAGAACCCAGTACATCCTTCGAGACGAGTAGGGGATCCTCCGGTGTACTGGTACAGACAGCCCCTGTGGTGGACGACAAGAGCGCTGGTACCGGGTAGCACAAACAGAAAGGGACCCTTAGGGGGAAGAAAGTCATTGATCAAGTTCCTAGTCCACATATCAAGCACCCTGAACATTCTATTTTGATGGATCATCATCATATACGGTTTCAGTCCTTTTATATTTTGGTACAGTCTCCCTTTCGTGTGCAAAGAAACTGATTTGGAAGTGAGAAGTGCCAGCTGTTCACTAAACCTTTTCTAACCACACCTGATCCGAACAGTTACGCTTAAATCAGCACCACCCAAGTAGGCAGTCGTCCAAGTAACATAACCTATCAACAAGTTCATCAAGTTCATCTTCACCGACCTTAATGCGCTCTGCAGTATTCATCAGAATTTCTCTACCAGTTTCTCCCTTTTCCTTACACTTGAAATGTTCATTATTTTTAAGGCTGCCCTTCAACCCACTGCATTTCTTGTGCATCCATAACTTGCAATGGCCACAAAGGATAGAGTTTATTCCAACATCCTTGTAGCATACTACACACATGGCACTATATGAAACTACACTATTATTAACTTTAGATTTGAAAGCTAAAACTTTAGATGTGATGCCTTTCTGCTGCGTCACAATCTATGTTACAGTGCTTAGCCCTATAAAAAGATACATTTCATACACATAATCTTTTAGAAATAAAATGCTGTTTCTTCTCACCTGTGAGATTTTTTAAGAGGCAGAAACTGATCTACTTCAATGTCTTCCCACAATGCCTGGTTAGAAGGCAGCACATCAGCAGAATCCTTATACTGTACAAAGGTCAGCAACTTAGCTAATTTACTCCAAACACTGTGAAGTATATCAAAACAATTATAAACAGAACTATAAATAAAATATGTATATGTTATACAAAAAAATATATGGTGCTTTATGCCAACAAGGCCTCTAAGCACTTCATATTATTATTCCCCATCAATGAATCAAACACATATAGAACAAATACTCAGCTCTCTGGATAATGTTGCAGCTATAAGACAACCATATTTGAAGTGCCTCGCCTAAGGGGCACAAGGGAAATGCACAGCAAGGTATTGAATTCCCTACCTGAAAACCGCTCTTAACGGAACAACAAAGCAGAAGTCCCAAGTCTTCGTTCCACCAGTTGTGGAGTGTGGGGGTAACCTAAGGCCCAGCGTAATGGAGGGGCAAAGCCCCAGCGGGGGCCTGGGCCGAAGCCCCTGGAAGCTACAGCCTTTTAACGGATTACAGGACTAATTTAATCAATTATAGAGTCCTTAATTTCACCATTTCATGAACAATAAAGTATAGAAACATAAAAAGTAAAAGCTGTCTTTCCTTTTATTCGAACGTCGTTTAATTTATTTTTACCTAGCAGCCCGGGCCAGTCTGCTCTAGCCTCTTGGCGTCACTTATCTCCTCTAAACTAGCAACAGGTAACAAGCTATGATGCAAGACATTTAAATATTAAAACAAGAAGTTCGAGTATTACTTACATTGACTATTACTTACATTGGTTTTGAGACGACGACATCGTCTTCAAAGATGTAAGGATGATGGATTAGCCAGTCCAAGAAAACCCTGATAGCTGGTAGACAAACCCACTGACGTGCTTTCTCCTGCGACTTGGATGGTATGTAGTGCAACATCAACTGGAATAATGTTACTGGTAAACAAAATTATATCATTACAAATAGCAATATTTTGTAGGAATAATTATTATTCTTTATTCATGAGGTTTTATTGAAACAATAATCATAATAGCAGATAAATGAACTGAATTAGTTTACATCTAAATTTTTAACAGAGACATCATAACACTAAGCAGTAAAAAACACAACTATAAAAATGTAAAATGACCAAACACAATCATTTAAACTCAAAAAGGGGAAAATTAAGTGTAAAAACAACTAAATAAAATAAATTGAAGATAATAATTAATATTATTATAATAATAACATATTAACAATAATAAAAATAATATTAAAAATTAAATAATATAAACAATAATAACAATGTACAATAAAATAATCTATGTAATGTAATGATTATAATCGATTACAATGACTATTGGATTGGTGGAAATAATTTGGTGCAATTAAGGTTATTCATTATATAATGAGGGTAGTTTGATATATTTGAGTAGTGCAATCATGTGATATGTTTTTGAATTTAGTTCTTTTAATATTTTTATCTGTAATAGTTTTCTTTTCTGCTTTTTCCTTTGTAAATTGATGTTGAAATTCTTTTGTAATGATGCTTCTTCAAATTATTTCTACACTTCAGTTTCGGGTGCCAGTAAATGACTTTATAAATGTTGATGGTTTTTAAAGGAAGTGGGAGATAGAGTTTGTTTGTGGGTTGTAGAAGGTTCCATAATACAGCACTGGAATAAGAGAATAAAAGGTTTTTATATAAGGTTTTAAGATTGCTACGTGGGATATTTATAATTTGTTAAATACATGAGCAAATAAGGTGTGAGTGTATAAATGTTTTGAGTAAAACAGATGTTAGTAAACAGTATGTGATTTATCTGAAGCAACAGTCAGCAATCATTATCAATATATGCCTCATTATCAGTATTATAATATTATATTTTTATCAGTATTATAATGTCATATTCATGTCATTATAATGTTATAAATAAACTGTGATATTAACCTGTCAAATTTAGTGTTAGATTCCACGACTGGATCTCATCTTGTGTGTATAGATCGTCCGACAACGCTACATCATCCTCGTCCTTCTCGTCCCCAGCAGTCGTCTCCTTATCAAGATGTTTAATATGGTGCAGTGTGAACATGTTAATTGCCATCATCTGTACAAGCTGCTTTGCTGAGAGTGATTCTTGAGCTAAGTGTGAACGGAAATTCTCCTCCAACTTGTCACGAATCATCGAGGCAACTTGTAAATCTAATCGGAGAATGATAAGATGATGAGGAACGCTAATCTACTGTTGATCTCAGTACTTATGAAATCCTGTAAATATTTATGTAACCTTTATAAAAACGTGCCACAGACAACCAACATTTAACTACCAGAATATTTCTAATTTTCCATGAATATATTTATCTCTTGTTAACATCCTGGGCTGTTAGAGAATGTCAATGGAAACTGTTGTCTAGTTAAAATATGTGCCATGCCTGAATATGGTCATGATGACATCACATCATGACCATATTTAGGCACATCATGTCTATATATGGACATACACCAGTTTTTTGTCAAATAAATTGTGATAGTCTGGACAGGGCTTGAGTTGTGGCTTGTTATATACAAGTCCACCATAGTTTGTCAGATTTTCTCTGTCAGATCCAACAAATATTTGATACAACTTTATCTGATCTAGTGCACTGTCTACCGCTTGCTATAGTTTTTCTTTGTTTTGCTATTTTCTATGTGAGGACTCGGTTATTGAAAAATTTCTGATTCTCTTGGTCACTATTTGCCTGTTTGGTTTTTAGGGTGGGTTATAAATATTACTATTATTATACTTTTTATTTATTATTGCTATAGCTGCTTCATCATCATCATCATCATCATTATCATCATTTTTAAAGGTGTAAAATATCTTACCAGCATCTCCTACAGTCAGGTGTATCACAGCATGAAACTTGGTGAAGAAATGAATTAATTCAACAAGTTTCATCTTGAAAAGTTTGACCTCATCCCTGTCATAGAAAAGAGACAATTACCAATGATTGACACAATGACTTGCTGTAATTGACTCAATGGGGTCATGCTGTTGACATGGTGACCCTGCTACGACTGTTCCAGTCAACTGATAACAGCAACTAGAATCCATTACCCGCGATTATTCGCTAAAGGAAGCTACATTAAGACCTGTGTACCTCCTGTGATTATGGATTCACACAAACGAATGAACAATGACTTAATGTCCAAGTGCCTTGCCCATCACTGGTTCAAATCCAATGGAGCTCTCTTTCATCATGGAAATTTAATCTAGCAAAATGTTTTTGTTTTTTTTTCAAAAAGGTTCATGGTTATCAGATACAAATGCTGAATGTATAATAGCTCAAATATCATTGGTTGGAAAAAGACTGGTCTCATAGCCTGGTATCTTGCTTATGATTAGGATGTCAAAGGTTCAAGTCTAATGGAGCTCCTCTTTTTATCTGGCAATATTACATTTAGAAATTTGCTGATTTCTTATCCTTTATGGAAATTAGATATAATGTTAAATGTACAATAGCAAGGTTAATATTGGCAAAGCTTTAGTCTCATGCATTGCTTATGGTTACGATGTCAAAGGTTCAAATCAAAGACAATATTTATTTATTTTTTAAAATTACTTTTACTTTATCAATAATTAAAAAAATCTGGTATAAAAATTGAATAGGAATGACATAAAAGCAATATGTAATGTTTATTATTTATTATGTTTGTTAATTATTTTAGTAATAGATTTTAGGCAATGTAATGTAATGCATATATATAAAACCAAAGTTTTGTACCATGTTATCTTTACTTGTGTTTGACTAATAAATAAATCTTGAATCTATATGTGGTCATCAACATAAAAAAAAATGTGTACTAACTTATCAACAAGCTTTGCAAAGGTACTCTGTAAATTAGTAGATGCTGCCGGGAAAGGGTGTCGGACAGCTGTGCTGCGAACATAGAAAAACGTCATTGCCAACTGGTCCCCTCGTGATGCTGCTACGATGGCCAGTTGGTTGTAGGGCTGCCCACTGGAGGGAACTAATTTAGCAGCGTGCCTGTAATAGCTTTCCGCTTGACTAGTTTCTGTTCTGTAACGGGCTAGATTGAGTTTAATATAAAGGAAATTATTACTCTGTTTATTCTTAGGCTAAAATTGTAAGACTAATAATTATTATGAGGCAACAATCATAAAGGCATAAAATAACATTCTTAGGAGGTAAGTCATCTTGTGTGTATTTCAGAACAATTGCATCCTTATTAAACAAAAAAAAACAAAAACAAAAAAGCTAATAATGAAAAAAGTTAAAATGCACACATTTCTTTATTCAGAGTTTCAATACTTAAAATCAAAGACATTCTGCAATTACAAAAGAATGAGAAGAATGAAAACTAATCAACTTACACAGGTCTCCAAGGTGTACCAAGCAGTATTGGCAGATGTAGAGGCAAGAGGCATGTTGTGCTTGCTTTACCTTCTGGTGATTGGGGTTTTTATCGTCAAGAATTCCTAGCTTGGATGGTGTCACCCGACATGGTAGCCTTAGGTCAAATGCACTGCATAATTCCTGGAGGAGCTGAAATAAAAAATAGTAGGTGATGTTGATAGAGTATGAGTGAGATATTTATATTACCTGATTAACCAACTAATTTCCCATTTTTTCTCTAGTGAGACACCCCTTGAAAATAAAATGGAACAGTTGGTCCCATGCTACCAAGCATGAACATCCCAGCAACACATAACACATCCGTATTCTTTTTCACTTGAGAATAGGCAATTAGTCGGTTTTTCCAGTAAGTATTCATGAAATAGACTCAACAAACATTTTATTTCTTTCCTTTATTCTCTGTAAGCAAAATGGAGGTACAGTATAACATTAGGCCAAAAAAAATGTATTTAATGTTGTTAAATAGAGTAGAAAAATAATCATAGGTAGAATAACTATGGCCTCAGCAGACATATGATTAATTGTATAATACATGTGTGCTAAGTTCCTAAATCCTATTAATAATAACATTTTCTCCGGAAATACATGAACAATCATCAATAATAAAAATTTATTAGAATAAGTATACGATTTGTATAGCATACATCCATAATGTTGAATGCGCAAAGGCGCTTTATTCCTCGTCACTGGATATACGATCAATCATACACTACGTGCAGCCTACTCAATTCTCAGGAGTATTTTTAGCAGTGTATGTAATTTAGCTCAGATCAATTTCATTCCAATTCATTCAACTCATACCAAGTACCCATTATCACTAAGTAAAGAGAGACAAATGTTGATTGAAGCTGCCTTGCAATGCTATTAGCCACTACATCAAAAATGTATTAAATTAAAAATTTGTACAAAAATTAACTGTATATCTGGGAAGCAGAGGGCAGTGGTTGATGTTGGCGCCCTCAACCTTGCTGTACATTAAGGGTTTGAATCAGAAATGGGTCACTTGTTGTATCCTTACAGGTAAGCAAGGCACATTGTCCATGTTGTCTCTCTCTATTCAGGAGTGCAAGTGGGTACCTGGTTAGAGGTTTGAATGCCAATGCATTGATTAATGCTGTAATAATTAAATTCTTCCCCAGGGAGCCTAGTATGTGTTGCATGGGTGTTTCATCCATTGACAGTGTTCTATGTTAAGGCTAAGAATTATTTACACCACATGCTCATAGATGACCTTTGGGTCACATTACAGCCAATCGCATGATCAAGAGCTCAGAATGTTTACATTTTCAACAGCCATATTAGGATGAATGTGGGCTTAAAATCTTCAAATGAATGTCATTTCAAATGACAAATTAAACATAGTGGTACCTGGCATACAATGTGACATACAACATGACTTACCTGGAGATAAAAACCACTAGCACTGTCTAGGAATAATGTCAGGGTAGCTTGTAATTCTGTTCTTTTTGGATTCTATTTGTAGGAAAAAAGAAGAAAAATAGTAAAACATAAAATCTCTTATGATGTACAGTATATTATATTAAGTTAATTTACATGAATATTTATTTGATAAGAATATATTAATTCTATATCCATATACACATTGATACTCTCATTGCATTTTGTTGTATGATATTTTATTTCAATTACTACACTGGGATGATGGAATTTGTAATTGACAATATTTATACTTATATTTGTATCATGTACAGTAAGTAAAAATAAAAACAGTACAGTTTTTCCTTAACAGGCTATTTTATGAACAAAAATCATAATTAATGCATTGATTACAACCAGCTAATTTAAGGGTATGATTACAACCAGCTAATTTAAGGGTATAATAACAAAGAATAATGAAAATGTATTTAAATTAAGCATACTGTATGTTGATTGGAACAAATTTTCAGATTCTGTTAAATTTAAACTAAATAAAGAAATATAAAAAATAAGTAATTTCAATTTTGAAGATTCTAAAATTTATTAAGTGAACAAAGACAATTACAATATTTTCAATTGCACTTGTAGATGAATGCAAAAAAAATTTGAAATTATAAAATCCAGCACAAACTATAGTACTGTACTTGATATTTGTTGGTCAAGTGTTTAGGAACTCAATGAGTTTTCAATACAATCAAGTCAGGTTGAGGAAAGGAATCTGATAGAAATTGTAAAACCTACACTCATTGTTAATATAAGGGAAATTGCAAAAAGGATTGATCAGGTTTGTGTTGCAATAAATTATCAGAATCATGACTGATTTGTTCAATTCTCTGCTGGCACAATGTACTACATTTTAAATTCAAAAATAATGAAAATATTTATGAAATTTATTAAAGCAACCTTGAAGCTGTTGAAACCCTTCCCAAAGGCCTTTATTAGAACTAAACCATTAAATTTAGTCTCAAAGCACTATTTATTCAAATCTAGCTGATAAATGGAGATTACAAAAATAATCATTAGCTAGTATATGCAAAACACATTTTGGATTTGGCTGCCTTATGATTGATTGAGGATGTTGAGAATTTAAATGCCACACTGGCCATTTGCCTGTGTTTTTGGGCAAAAATAAATAAACTACAACATACAAATTACACTAAAATGATTGCATTTACTTGAAACAAAAAAAAAAATTACTGATTATTAGGTTGTACTGTAACTGAAATATTTAATAAGAGTAAATGATAATGATCGCTCTATATAATATATTAGGCAGAAAGCCTTAATGCACTTTACCATGGAAAACAGATAAAATATAAACAAAATATCAGAATAATTTAAGCTATGTTTAATGAAGACACGAGCTAATACTATTCACTGTAGATCCAGGTAAGTGTCTCACTCACAGACTACCAACATCATTGCTAATTTGTGTGATTTGATTATATCAACATAAATGCACATGGGACTGAGAGAAGACAGAAATGGCTGAGATGGACACATCAAAAAACTGATAGGACATGCAAAGTCTTTCCAGGATTTTTGATCCACCACTCATGTCAAAACGGTGCTGCCTCACCAAAATTTGGCCTTCCTACTCTACCACCTAAAAGAAGAATTTTTGTGTTCTATAGGCCACAAATGATCTGTATGCTAGGATAGAATCAAGCCTCTATTTTTTACATCATGAAAAGCCCTGTGTCCAGAAAAAAACATGTGACATGCCTAAATATGGTCATGATGACATCACATAATGACCATATATAGGCACAACATGACTAAATATGGTCATGATGACATCACATAATGACCATATATAGGCACAACATGACTAAATATGGGCATACAACAGTTTTTGTCAAAGAACACTTGATAATCTAGACAGAGCGTTAGATTTTGGGGGATCAATCAGAAAACCAATTAAGGCTTATCCCGTATATAATCCTCCATCCTTTTGTTGCATTCTTCCTTATTGTTAAATTTTGGTCAATTTTCTTTCCTTGTAATTTATTTCTCCATACAGCTGTATTATCAAAAGTTTAATTTGTGAATATTTTGTTAATGTTTTTGCGTTCAAAAGGAATATAAACTCTGATTTGATTTGATATTTAAAAAAAATAAAAGCTTTATTCATAAAGTTTCACATGGAGACTTGTATACAGAGAAATTTTACTAAAGATCCAATAATTCACTTTCTTTGATCATTTTTGAATTTTGTTTTTAGGTCACAACTATACAGTTGTTAGGGTAAAAATAAAACAAATAACAGGAATGTTATGAATAATATTAGATATACAATATACACATAATTACAGGCCTTAAGCCTACATAAAACATCACATAGCCACCAAGATGACCTGAAACGTATACATTTAGAAATTGCTTTTACAGTTGATGATACAATGAAGGTATAAATGACTTCAAATATCTGTCTGCCCTACATTTTTCAGTACATTAGTCACATTCCAGAACCTAACCACTCTTTTGTGAATAAAGTGGATGACTGATTTCTACTGATCTTTGTTTTCTCCACAATTCTACATACAGGTATACAGCAGGCCCGTATCCCGTCTGGGGGGGGGGGGGGGGGATTTATGTTTCGGGAGAACAACCCTTTTGTAGCAAACCCCCTCTTTAAACTTCCAAAATAAGTCCTCCAACCCAACTAATGCACTGCAGACCCACCCAGACACAGACATTTTTAAACACATCTGCTTTTATAGCATTATTTAGACCCAAAAAGCACAAAAATCCTCTTGCTTTGGGAGTTTCGCCGAACCCACAGGGGCTTCGACATCTGCTTTTATAGCATTATCTAGACCCAAAAAGCACAAAAATCCTCTTGCTTTGGGAGTTTCGCCGAACCCACAGGGGCTTCGACTGTGAACCTCACGCCCAGATAACCCCCCCCCCCCCCCCCCCCCCCCCTGGAAGAACCTGGCTACAGGCCTGTACAGTCTAATGACATTTGATGTTTGATTATTCTGAATACTTTTAAATTCATGATTGACTGTCTTAATTATGTGAAAATGATTTTGAGTTTGGAGAAAATGAGGCCTGGTATTTCCCTTAGCTAATATTACTTTACACTGATCTCTAATTGATCCTGTCATGGATTTTGATAACCAGGTACTTGCATTTTGAACAGTTTCAGTCAGCATAAGTATAAAGATCTTGCTTCTTTTTTTCTATAGGGATTGAAGCGCTGAAGCTTTTGAATAAGATAAGATGCTTTCCCACAAATCCTCCTCATTATTATCATTTATACAATATATATAATTAACGACTATCTGCTACATAACACTTAACAGATTTGTTTTTATTTCTTTATTTATGATTACGTGTTTCTGATAAGTGTAATCAGCACAGAAGCAAGTAACCCCGTCAGGTAACATACTCAAATTTATACTTCTGGGTAGAGAGGTAATGCAGATAATGTTCCTTGCTTAAAGATTCAAGCGAATTGGATATTAAGGGATTGAGACCCCGACCTCGAGACAATACATAGTTCCCCCTGCGCCAAACCACTTCTATAACAATTTTTTTTTTTAATGGCTGAATTGAAATTTAAAATAAAAAATTGTGTATGGAAAGTAATTTTAAATAAAAATTTGAAAGAGAAATTTATTGAATTTATAGTATAATTCCACATTCTTTGCATTTAGACCCTAAAATTGACTTTTATTAACTAGGATTTTTTTTTTACTTCAGCAAACATTTGTACATTAGCAAAATTAAATTGTGTTAAAAATAATCTGTGCCTTTAATTACTCAATCACAACAACACTTATTCTTTTAAATGATTAATCCTATGATATATGTAGAGTCACAATATCCCACACATGAACCATTAATAATGAACATACCGCCTTGTCTTTTACTTTTCTTTGTAAGATGTTGATTTGGTTCTTGAAGACATGGTTCCATAGGTCTTGCTCTACTTTTTTGTCGAGGGCAAATTCTAGATTTGTGATAAGAATCTGCTGATAGAGGTCCAGGAGCGTCTGGCGGGTTACCCAAGTTTCAGCATTTCCCTCTGGTGGAATAAATCAGAGTGAGGGTTAAGTAGACAACCATGATGATGTCACCAAGTCAAATGATATTCAACATTGAGTGATAATAACAACAACAGTAATGTTTATTAATGATATTTTTGCATTGTACCGATTTCTATCAATGTTTATGACACAGTGATTCAATAAAACAATAAGATTAAGTTTGATCAGGTATTTGAGAATGAGATGAATGATGGTGATACAATTGTTTATAGAGGCATGCAGCTGATGATGGGGATTAATACAAATACGAATACCTAGACAACCATGATGGTAATTTCTAATGCACAAACCATGACATGACCAAGAAAAGTTTTGATGTGTCCAAGATAATCATCATGATGGTTATTACAGTATGAAAAATCCAGATAATAGCAAAGCAAATAGAATTGCAAGTTCAACTCTCAAGGTTTCCTTGAAATGAAATCCTATCTCTAAAAATACTATCACAAACTACAGGGCACCCCCCATCTTATGGTAGTACTTTGTCTTTAATTTCATTAGCCTGGTTCACGTCAAAGTTAACCCACTTGTATAAATCTTGAAATATGATATGATTTTCCCTATTTGCGTTTCATGGCAAGTTAGAGCCAGATAAAGCAACCAGCCAGCTTCGAGGCCATCGATGTCACTATTTCAGGCGTTATATTAAGAGAAAACCAGATTGAAAAATCTGTGTGGTGGAAAGCTTGTTATAATAAAACGTCTATTTTACGAAACCCCTTAGTACCGAGGGGCATTCATAAAAAACTGACAAATTCGTAAACCACTGTAAATCAGGTGTCAGTTTCCACTACCTAGCCTAGCTATCCTCTTCCATTGATATATAGGCTGACGGCGACCAGGTCTAGTACCCTAGTAATAGTAGTACGAACCAACCTACAGTGCAGCATCATGGTCTACCGCAACAGTAGTAGACTAGGCCCTAGCTGAATTTACCTTCGATAAAAACCAAATTATTTCAATTGCCAGCATTCCCATTTTAATTCTTATTAAAACGTCTGTATGCTTTATGGACTTTTTTGTCGTGTTTTTTGTAGATTTTAGATCGCTGAATTGCATAGTTAGCTTCATGGAATAAATAAGTTGCTGACCTTAATACGCTTTTTTATTTTTCCATCGTAAACATGTGCGCTCATTTCAAAGGCTAGCGTTGGTGGTAGTTTGTTCAAACTGAATTAATAGCGATTATTATAGCGGAAATGGAAAAGATTGAACTGTGATTATGTAATTAAAACAACAAACCTGATTTTATTATTATGAAAAATATACATTATTACGTTGAAAACGTAAGCAATTGCATTTTTTTAAATTATGACTTGGTCGATGATGCAAGGGCAAAGGTCAATTTTGTAAAATTGTTTATTTGTAAAAAAGACGTTTATTGGGTTTTTACTCATAATATTACAGGGGCATTCCACAGTATTTTGTCGTCATGGACATTACAATTTTCTAAATATAAATATCTATATTTAATAGACTACACATAGGAAACACTTCATTTTTGGTTCAATACTTCCATTTAGTTTGAACTTCAGGAATATAACAAAAAACATGAAAAAAAAAATTTATGGTGCGTAGATCAGAATGTAAAATGTACGCGTCACAGACATTACAGAATTGCGACATGACTTTTGACGGTATATAGGAAAATTAAAATTCCTGTTCTGTTACTGCAAAAATATTAGACTTTCCTTCAATATCAAATAAACAGATTGTTGAAAAATAAAAATATATCATGTTTTCATTATATAATATAGATTATGTAGTGTCACGGACATTACATTTCTATATGTAACGGAACAAGTCACAAGTACACAGAATTACAAAAATTCAATTTAAACAAAAAAATAATATTCTAAAAAATTTGTAAACAGTATTTTATTAGCAAAATACGCAAAGTGTTTGTAATTAGTTTTGCTTGTTACATACATTAGGCGATAAAATAAAACAAACAAAAAAACAACACAACTTAATACTAAATACAATAATATTTCAAAGACCATACGTAAAGTATACACTAAACAAAATAAACATATTACTGTAGGTCATTAACCTCTGAAAACATAAGTGGGTGATTGTTGAGCCAGACAATAAACAAACTGCACTTAACAGCAATTGAGTATAACTGTACATGTGATAAAGTATGTAAGTACCTTACTGTACCTTCAAGGCTGTAATTTAAAGTATATTGGGATGGAATTAGGCAATAGTGATCGAATTATGACTTCAAAATTAGAAGCGGAGCACCATAACCACCATACCACAGTTCTTTTAACGTTATAAAAATTCCAAAGCAATCAACCCCTACATACCAGTTGTCATTTTTATGATTTTAAATATATTATTTTGATTAATGTTTAATATGAATAAGTAATGGTTGTCCTACCTATTATTTTTGCCTTGAGTTCATCAGCTCGCCTGCAACGGAAAAATAATGAAGGAAATATTACAACATGTTTCAATATGCTTCAACATATGGATCATTTAAACATTTAAAAGCACTCTAGGTTCATCTAACTATACAGTACACTGTACAGAACCTTACTAGCCACAGTAGACATTGCACATTTCCCCAGTGGCTATTTTTTTTTAGGTGGGTGGAAAGAATTACTTTTTCCGACTGCAGTTAGGCCAATGTATCTCGTAGAAGACAGACAATAAACATTTGGTACAGGAAGAATTTTTTTAGATAATTTTCATGGACAAGAATACATGTACTTGTTTACTTGATACTAACTAGATCTTTCTAACATGGGCCTTGACGTTTTACAGGATAATTACCGTATATGTGATGTGAGCTTTAGTAGGTATACAGTACTAGTACTAGTATAGACCTTGCTTTTATAACATAATTTGTTAGTAAGTTACACCACTTGTCTGTGAACACAGTATAATTACAGTTTATTTGGCTAAATTTAGAGGCTGTAACCTTACATGACAGGAGTCAGTAAAACTAGTCAACATTAAAAAAAAACATTCTACTGGAGGTACATTAAAAATTTGGAACAAGTTGGCTTTAATGCTATCATGGAAGGATGAAAGGCCAAGTATGCCGAGAAGATCCTAATATTTGAAGTTAAGTTCACTAATGATTTGTTGTGCTGCAATTTCTCATTAAACTTCTTAGGACTTAAAGCCCCATTCCCGGCAAAATTTCACTAAAAACTGATTTTTTTTTTTAATAGAAAATATGCATTTGCATTACTCCAATTATTATAAATCATGGAAAAATATTGGCATGATTCTTAAGTTTATGCAAAAGAATAAAAAAAATGAGAAATACAGACTACGGTATTTCTCATAAAATATTACCATTTTCTCAACGAATTCATCGTTACCAGGCAAATTCAGAGGTTGTAGATCGCATCCACGGTCGTTCGATTAAGGCTGAGATATGTTTGTTTAAGTGTCAAAATCTCAGTCAGAATCAATTTTTAACAAATTTGAAATAATTCCTATGAAATATTTTATTTCACAAGTGTCATTACTAGCAATGGAAAATATCATGTCGGCCGTTTTTATGTGTGATAACAGAACCTAAATCGAGGTAAGGCTAGGCCTAGCCTAGCAGCGTTGGATAGGCTAATGTTTTCAGCGCCTACGATATTTCTTCTCACGACCTATGGCAAAATCAAACATGAAAATTCATCCGCATTTATTTTTTGTGTGGAACACAAAAAAATCAAATTTCAGTCTTATTTCACATTTTTTTTCATTCTTTGGAATGTCTAAATTCCGTTAAACTAGCAATTCTGTATTATATTTATAAATCTTTATAACATTATACAAAAATTAGATTTTTCTTAACAACTGAAATTTTGCCGGGAATGGGGCTTTAATGAAATTACAATTTACTTAAGTGTAGGTTAGACAACAGCTTTGCAAATGAGTACAAATGAGTTTGTAGTGTCTGTAGATAGTTCAGCAAAATTGTGTTTGATTGTAAAAATTTGTTCACGAAATATAATTTTAATCAAAGTTAAATTACACATATTTCACTTCTGACATTGGATCAAAGGAGTCTTGTTTGAAAAAATACACATAATCCACGTGTGTGTAATGAATGTGGATGGCCTTGCACTTAAGTATTATTCAATAGCATTTAACACAAAATATACAGTATAGGTATTGTTAATATGAAATGATCTTCTTTCTTGTAATTTATCATCTTGAGCATCATACACATTTTTTTGCATCATATGCAAACAGCATCAAGCTACTGCTAATAAAATCTGGCAAATCATTAACAAATATGATAAACAAGATCGGTCTGAGGACTGATTCCTGACAGACTTATGTCTGTGCTGAGCTACTATAAACATTAACAGTCTGATATTTGAACTTACAAGTATGTACTTTTTAAAGTTATTAGCCTTTTTCAATTGAAAATTAGAATAAGAAATATTTTCCTCATTAAATAAGAGAATGCATTTAACAATACTGTTACAACAGTAGTTCCTCTGGCATATAAGCCCACCCCCTTGGACAGAAAATTGCATCGATATTGGGAGGTGGACTTATACTCGTCGGGGAATCCCCTTTTCACAAAGAATATGATGACCATTTTTAAATTGACAGAATGTAATCAAAAGGCAATTTTTTAAATACCTCATGCCTTATTCAAAATGACATTTAATTATTTATCAATGTATTTTTAAACATCAGCTGAGCTACTCATTGAAATCATACCCAGGGATTTTGCTTAGGAAAACCCTGGTGTATGTAAGATTTGGCATAAAGTAGGGGGTAGGCTTATAGACGAATCAAAGAATGGCACCCTCTGTTGTCGACACCATTACTGGGGAGTCCCTAAACCGAGGCCTACTCCTAAAATGTCAATGCAGTGTGGTTATTTAACACAGTACCATTGAGAAATCCGGCTTTTTATTTTGCAGCTGAATAATGCCGTCAGTCTTCAAACTAAAAATTTATCAAAGTATAAATGTATATTTTGTGTATTTAGACGTCTTCCGAATTTTTTGCATGAATTTAAAAATCTGATGCTGAAAACATAATAATCCTTAAATTATTTGACAGACTTTCCAAATTTTATGACAAACATTATATTAACTGATTCATTCCTAATATTCCAAAAAAATATAAAATATTTCGTTTTACATTTAGAAATTTCAATTGCCTTGTCATAATCAAACATAATTTATTTTGAAATAACAACAGGCCCTTATACACTAGGACAGGCCTCGGTAGAACAATCCAGGTAAAAAAAATCAAAAACAAATCAAACATAATTTATTTTTAAAATAACAATAGCATTTTTTAAACAATACAGAATTAATTTGAAAAAATACAAAAACATGAACAAAATGTTTCTCATCTTTTTGCTAATTTATTTTTTTTACACTCACAAGCCAGAACAGCCAAAAATACTACAAAAATTCAAACACCACAGAACATAAACATGGGTGTTTGTGTGAGCCTATACCTAGACAAGGCTTTGTCTTTGGGATTTTAAAAATTTAGATGAGAATTTTTTATATTTGGCCATTTCATTTCATGTAAAGTAATTAAATACTTAGTAGTATAATTACAATTAATATTCATGAGATACATATTACTCAAATTTGCATGAAGATTCGCTAAGTGAATAGGTGCGCAGAATTGTAACCACAGTACTGCATAAATAATTACATAAAGGTTATTAAGATTAGATCAAAGCCTAATTTTAGGCACAATCTGCGCGAAAATCTACCCTTTTTTCGCAAACTTAATTCCCTGTGCAAGCCTTTTACTTTACAGTCTGCAACTGTTATATTATTATTGACATACCTTATGTTACATTCAAACCAATTAATAAATTATCTGCAATTTAAGTAGGTCTCAAACTCCTTATATTTTGAAAATTAATTTTCAAAAGTTTGGTTTAAAACAAAATAATTGTTTAGTTAGCCTACTGTAGGCCTAGCTTAGGCTTAACAAAATAGGCCCCTGGTATTCAACTTTTTTAAGCTGGGGGCCAGTTACAATCTACTGAGTCCACTGGCGGGCTGACATAAGTTTTACTTCCAATAGGTCTGTTATTAGACTTGGTTTTGGTATAAGGGCCTATCGGGGAAATAGGCCCTTATACACTAGGACAGGCCTCAGTAGAACAATCCAGGTAAAAAAAATAAAAAATAAATACAAATAAATTACAACAAATCACATGCACAAATTAAAGGCAGTGGTTTTTTAACAGCAGCAGATTGATCAACAAATTGGAAAATAATACTGAATAAAAGTGAATATTAGCAAAAAAAAAAAAAAAAAAAAAAGAAGTTGTATACAAAAACAAAAACCCCACAAAAAACAAAAGACAAAGCAACAAAAAAAACCACACACCCCCCCCCCCCCTTCATTAACGCAGTTTTCCCCAAGGATGGGATTAACTGTGTTGGCAGCCAGCAAGATAGGTTCTACTCGGTCGGAGTAAATATTGTAGCCTTGAAAATCGAAATGTATGACTACGCTACATGTTACACATTCTAATGAATAAATCCCAAAATTAAAAAACAAGAAAGTACATAGACAATCATTTTCTTACCGGAGCAACTGAGCACAACTCATTACATTCCTGCAAAGTTTGTAAAGTTGTCGCCCAAAAATTTTCACTTCGTGAACTCCGCCATTATTGTATATTTCTTAAACGTGTTAGAAGTTTGATAATTTGCTCATACAATTTTGATTTAAAAAAAATTAAATTTACAATAATTTATTGTAAAATATACAAAAACTGCTATAATATATTTATAATACTATTTATTATCTTTATTATGTTAAATCTTACTAAATACGATCTAAAAATTTATGTAGTAGCTACTGCAATGACCTTTTTACTTGTTTTTGTGTTTTGATGAGAGGGGTACGGGTTTTCTCGGATCTGTAAATAGATGGCGCTACAGCATTTTTTACTTTCCATTTTCGCAATGCGAAGAGGTAAAGGTACTTCTGTGAACTAGGAAGAGGCGATCTAATGAAAAATTCAAGAGAATTATAAATTAGTGTTCAGAATTAAAAGTATGAAATTTAGTGAACATTTACAAGCTCATCTTACACCCGAATGGCGCAAGCAATACATTGATTATGAGGTAAGCCCAGAGAATAATATATCAGACTAGGCCCTAGGCTAGCTAGACCGTATGTACGTAGGCCTAGGCCCGAGGCCGAGCATAGGCTAGGCAGACCCATCAAGCCAGCCCTGGGCTAGTATTAGCTAGCTAGGCTACTAGTAGTAAGCCTAGCTACGTAGCCTAGCCTAGGCCTCAGTAAGGTAGGCCTAGGTTGGTACTGGCCAAATATCGATAAAATTTTGTCTGTTAGCCAATAGTGTAAAAATATAAATAAGGAGCAATTTATAAACCTGTTGATTTAGTCAGTCATGATGTCCAGGCCCTGTCTGGAGGCTATCTACAGTATTTTGTTTTTACTATTTAATGAATGTTGTAATTTTTTTTTTAATTTGATGCCTTGTTGGCGAACACTCGTCGCCCTCGATCGATCATATTTTATTTTTTGAACTGGAAGGCATTTTATATTGTATTATACTTTTACCTAAAACGTTGTAATAAATAAATAACAACTTTCCTTAGTCTTACATTTCTGTGATATTTGTGTGATTGAAAATGGTTTCACTAGTAGTAGATTGCTAATTATTTTGTGAAATTAAAATGCAAGTTGAAGGGACATTACAAGACTTGGTTTGAAGTTACTGACCAGCCATTTTGCCTTCAGTTTTCCCAAACCAAGATATATCCTGCTAATTATGAAATGATAAAAATCAATATTTAATTACTGTAGCAGTGCAAAGGTAATGCATCAATGTAATTGATATTTGTTGTGTTTCGTTCCCTGGAACCCCAGGAATATTACTGTGGCTGGCCTTTGGGAGGGGTGACATCCAAGGGTTGACATGATCATCCAAAGTAGAGAAGACCCCCACTCCAAAATCCATCCACACCTAGCATAGTAAACCCCACCCTTCAGATGTCCTCTGTACACTATTGTAGTATTCTACAGTGATGAAATGTATATGTACTGTCTCAATTTTTGTTTTAATTTTTTTATGTAAAATTTGTAATTGTCATTAGTGCCAACCTGACTCATAATCTTGAAAAAAGGCACTTGAGTCTGTTTTTGTTGACTTATCAATTTATCTATTTCCTTTTTAGATATTTTGAAATATCCGTTGTTTTTATTTTTTAATGTTTTAATAACATTTCAAACTCTTATACATTTTTGTGAAAATGCCTCAATTTAGCCATTGGATGCTATGGATTTTCAGTGCCATTTTCCTATTACAGAAAGGAAACACTCAAATATAATGAACTTACCTATTTAAAGAAAATTTGTACTTTATTAGGACTGACAAAATTAGAAGATCTTTATCTTCAATATTTCTAAGATAACAGTAATGGCTTCCTTATTGCTCTGACTTTTCAGTCTGCATTAGTACATAAACGATAGCAATTGATTCATAAATTCTGATGTCATATGTAAAGATAGGTTGATAATTTAATTTGAGTTAACTCTTTTAATACCAATATCTACATACTGTAGCACTGTTTTCCAATGAAATTCTGACACTAAAGAAAAGAAATAATCAGGTTTTTATTATTAAACTCATAGAAAATGGTATCAATCATAAATATAATTATATATTAAAGACATTGTTAACAATACATTCCAATATAAAATATATATATTTTGTTGTCCATAAAGGCAATATCTTGCATATCCTACTAAACTCTAACAAACACATGTGAATATCTGTGCTTAATAGCCCAGTACTGAATTACTTTGGTTTAATTAGGACTCACTCTGCAAGGGAAAAAAATTATAAATTGTAGTTCCTTCCACCAATTCAATTTTCTTTCCAAGTGATTACATTTTAATTTGAGGAAACCAGTGATGCATTATGAGGCCTACTTCCAGGCAGTTTGAATTGTTATTGAATGCGTCAGTTCACAAAATGTGTTTTTCAAATTTGCTGTAAGATCTCATCACAGATTTTGAGTGCCTCCATTCTAAAAGTGTAATGTTGTCAAATAAATGAAAATGTATTACCTGTATGTTAATACTGTATAAGGTTCTGACTGTTTCTTATTGTTATTAATTAACAGTTAGATCCTACAGTATAGGATCACTGGTTGACATCTTCAGAGGTGGATCTAGAAATCCCCACTAAATCCGTCGTCGTGTATGAATAGATGATTGTGGTAATAATGCACTGTGCTTCTAATTTCTAAGATGACTGGTTCAGATCTTTACCAGGTCTCTCATGTGTGCCTTAATCCTTTGGAGAATCTCTCTAATCCTTGGATTAGCTTAGCAAGCACTCTATTGTTTTATTATTTTTTACTTTTGGTTCAATATACAGCAATCAAGTATATACTGTACATGAATTTCAAATATAGCTATTTTTACAGTATCAGCTAAATCTGATTTACTATCATTTTTTATTTGTAGTATGATTTTAATTTTATAACTTGGGGAAAAATATAAAATTGCGACAAGTGTGACATGTGTCTAATATAAAATTCATTAACTTTGACAGATAAAGGAAGTATCATACTTTATGTGAAGGACAGACAGGTGGCACAGGGATGAAGCAGTTTTACAGAATCAATTTCATTTCAGCTGGGGCTTTGTACTATCATAGTACATGGTCTGAATTTAAACGGAAATTAACATTTATTTTTCATGTCAGGAAGTTTAATTTAATGAGATGAAAATGAATAAATTGATTGAATAGTAGGGGATCTGTGTAGTGGTTTCTCACATTCATATACTCCATCTAATCTTCTGACAAAAGTGTAATGCACTTAGGGATTTCCCTCTCTTTTAAACTTTCACCATTTTGTTAACTAACTTTACTGTATGTTTCCAGCCCTTCATTACATCTTTTCTCATACCATTTTTTATTCTAAGTCCATCCCTTTTTTTCATCTTTTCCCAAACTTTTCCCATACTCTCCATTTCTCAACCTCTACCCAAAACTATCCTACCGAATCCAACAACTAATAACAAATCCCTGTTTGCTTATTATTTTGTTCCACTGTAAAAAACATCATAAAACAACAAAAGTGCACCCTTGATCCTGTAATACGTACTGTATAGCCTCCAGTTACTATGTTTGAACAATCAATTTTGGATTTTGTATTCTGTTTTGAATACAATGATGACTTCAGCCCATAGAGACCTACAGTATGTGACCAATTTTATCTAAAATTATTTTCCACAATAAAACAATGAAATGAAACTACCTCAGAAATTTCTAAGGCCTTATAAAAGAAATTTACTGTATTAGTTTATCACCCTACCTTGGCTGGAAACGTGATAAGGGAAGGGAGGCTGTTTGTTTATTATTTTGCTATCCACATATCACTCTTGGGTTGTTTGCTGGTGCATTAATATTCAGAGTAAAACATGATGGAGATAATACAAACAACATCCACTAATTACTAAAAAAAAATGAAAAAATAATTTTTTCCAAAAAAAATATTTTTTTTTCAAAAAAATATATATTTTTTAATACCACAGAAGATATGGGCACAGTGGTGAAAGCTAATGATTTTTTTTATTGGGCCTAACACTACTAGTGTAGTATTATACTGTTAATGATTAATAGAATTGTATTAAATTAACAAAATTCTGATTTACTTTGTTCCATTCAAACCAAAACTTAATGCAAACATTTTAAAGCAAAGTATAGAATATTTTACTTAAGATTAATATTGTTTTAAAGTTAAACACTGCTATAATACAATAATTTTTCGACTTTAGAAAGTATGTCAACAAAGTCAAATCAAATGCAAAGTGACAAATACACTCGTCAATTACTGATGATCCTTATCGATTTAAAGTGAATGCAACTCAATTCTCTATCTACATTAACAACAGTGCAGTCTTTTGTGTGTCCTGCTCACATTGTATCCATCTGTCAATTCATCTCCTCATATTTAAATTTTGTTAATGATTTCTATTCCTCTTTACAATAGGAATCTTTATCATTGAAATGCCAGCCATTAATATTTTCTTTGTGTGTTTTTAATGATGCTAGATTGCATAAATACATAAACTCTTCACATTGGTAAACAGATTATTGCAGGCTATTTATTTTTAAGGTTTGCACATAGTTATTAATAAGTTTCTAAATATTATTTGAAGGTTTGCATGGCGAAGTAATAATATACTGTATCTTAATGCTTGTGTTATACCACATCATAGTTTTAATGAGTTGTATGGCCTCTCGGAAGAGCAGTGCTATAACTGAGAGGGCTACCCTACTGAAAAAAAAAAACGAAATAAATAAATAAATAGATAGTTCTGAAAAGAACTTGTTGGTTGAGATAATTTTCTATGGATGTCAATTGAAGGACATGGCTGAAATAGTGAGAACATAGATTTTAAGTTAAAATGCTGGTATTAGATGACATTCACAAAGTTCATTATAGGTTACAGCTTCCTCTGAAGTATCATGTTTTTTTCCTGTTGACATTTTGACCTCTAATGCTGCAATTATTGGTAGACAATGGTGTGTGATTTTGTAATCACACAGCAAAATTGTCAAATCTTTGTGATCTTCACAATTGCTTTTTAAACTTAAATTGTTACTAGGATTTCATTTTATTTTTCTCGTTAAGTTTGGTACTATTACTAATGTAAGATCAATTTTTTTTAAATGTATAAAAATTACCGTATATAAAAAGAAATAAAATTATAATTAAACATTCATTCATTAATAAACTAAGTAAACAAATATAAATTTTAGAAAGCTAGACAAGGTTAACAGATTAACTATATTAAGCTATGATTTAAAAAAACCAAAAATACTGATATTGGGTTATTAAGAAGTGTTGAATTACAGTTTATACATTTCTGTAAACATTGTTTTTTTTCTTCCTACAGAATCTTAAGGAAATTATATACAAATACTGTGAGAATGTTCCACAAAAGGAGGGTAAGTAATATTTCAAAATGTTTCCACCCTGGTCATAAGAACCAATAAATTGGCAAACAAAACATGCAGCACATAAAGTACAAACCTTCTCTGCACTCTGTGGAAAGTATTCATTTTCATGCTGTAGTACAGAGCTCGCAAACACATACATTCATGGTTCAAGGTTTCAGTACCCATGTGACCAATTTGACACTCCATGGCACACAAATACATAGATGTCTGATTGTATTTGTTTTGCTAGAATTATTATTAAATAAATGAATTAATAGATCATGGGACAGCCTATTGAATTAAGATGAGATTCATCTTTTATATTGTCAACCACCACAGTTAAAGTAAAATTTATTCAAATGGAAATTTTATTACTAATTTACAGTATAAAAACATTAAAAGTGTTAAAATTGACAAAAAGTTATGAAATAACACACAACAACAAAAATATGGATATCAAAAAACATTACAAAATTTAAAAAAAAACAGCACATCTTATAAAATCATTACATTTATGTAAGAAAAAGAAACAGAGAAGTTAAAATACAAGTAAACTTTAACCATCAAAAGTTACTTCACAACAACATAAAAACACCAATTGAATAATACAGTTGTTGGATCCAAGGTGCTTTTTAATTGCAGAAATTTCTAATAAGTAAAATAAGTAACAAAACGTTAAAATTGGAAACAGATAACTTTGCATTATTGATTTTCATTTAATTAAATTTCCTAATGTTATTTCTTAATGATACTTCATGATTGCATTTGTTGTTTTGTAGAAGTTGGAGAGCAGGCTGTGGAAAGATATACTAACAAAATAGAAGAGGAATTTTTCCGAGTAAGTGATAAAGAACTCACAAAAGTCAACACATTTTTCTCAGGTAAGTAAAGATTGATACTTTTTTTGCTAGATGTTGAGGTCATTGAAAGAATCATGTAACAGAAATGAAATATGTTGGCCATTTTAACATATTGATGTCACAACACTCATGGTGATGAGGTTGTAAGCACTAATAAACTATGATGATATGACTACACCCCATTGGTTAGAACGAAAGCTCAAGAAATGTAGTTATAAAAGATACCAACTCATGTCTTTCATGATATGATTGTGGTTATGGTTGCAATAAACTAGACAAGTAATGATAATGATTTATGGTTGTGATTGTAATTATTATAATAATCTTAATCTTCACATTCTGATCATCATTATCATCGTCAACAACATTAGTGTCATCATTATTATCCGTATCATTATCAGTACTCATGACTGTCATCATAATCATCATGTGTCATTAAAAATCAGTCTTATTATCATTAGCACTAAGCATCATAATCAACTCCATCATCATCACTTATCTGCACCATCTTCTTTAAGGTGATGCTAGTGATAATAGTTATGGCGATATTTGTAAGGCTAAAATGTTAATGAACATGATATTATGAAGACTGATAATTGTTATTACCAAAGATAATCGCTGCGGCAAATTTCTCAAATAATTTTCAACTTCAGCGATTTCTGATAATTACTAGTAACATTAAATCTGAACATTCATGCACAAAGTGCATATCTAACCATCTTCCACTCTCTCTAGAATTTTTGCTAGTCATTTGGCATGTAATCAATGCAAAAACTAATGAACCAAAATCTTACCCAATTATTGTACTGTGAGTGCTATGTGAAAATGATATAGATCGTAGGCAGGAGGAGGTTGGGGCAGTCACAGGGTCTTAGTGATCTCAGCATAAATGATGACATAGTTACATATTTAAAGGTGTGTGTGTGTAGTAAGTTATTGGAAAAAAATCTTTAAATATTCAATAAAATCAATAATGACAGTACAGTAAATAGATCAAATAATATGTTATTAACTTCTATTGAGAGACAGATATTATATAAAATTGCTTTATTTTGAAACAAGACAAAGGAAAACATACAGAACCTAGGTCATGACCTTATAGATGGAACATGCAAGATAAATGGACAAAAAACAATTACAAAAGCAAGTGATTAAAGACAATGAAAAGAAAAGATTTACATATAAAAATTGGAATTTAACTCTTAAGACCACATTTCAATATACTGTATACATTTCTGAACTCATTAGCTTCAGGTAGTCATTCATTTAAATTTAAATGTTCATTAAAATTTGTTAATATTCTATATACAATTATATTGCACGGGACTTGTTAATTTTGAAATATGGGGGATTTATCAAGGAAGGTTGTTCTTTCACATAATAGATTCCAAAGGTAGAAACTAGTGTTTTTTTCGAGACAATCCCTTAAAGTTTTTAGTGAGATTGGTTTACTGTTAAGATTTTTTTTAGGGTTATTTAAATAATTTTTGGAGACATACCCTCTAGATCCCACCTCTGGAGCCATTAGTACAAACAGTTCAGGTTTTGTAGATATACAGATATTTTTACTACAAAAATCTTTATATTAAATTGATTCACCAAACCAATAAGGGGCTATGCAAAGGATATAAATATTGTATCGTGTATATTAATTGGCCATGAAAATACTTTATTGTTCTAATTCAATTCAATTTTTATTGTTTCATCAGTCAGCCATCAAGAGCTATTATCCGCTTAACATTGACAATAAATACAATACATACAAGGGATAATTTATTTATCTGATGAAAGCAAAGCGCTAAAAAATTAACACTTTTTATGCAACTTTTTAACAATTAAAAAAAAAAAACTTTTCCATCGTCGATTCAGAAAAATTGAATGAGGCAACGAGGCGTTTTGCAAGTCTACAAGATGAATGTCGACAATTTAACAATAAATCCAATCAGCCTGCAATGCCCCCTAGAGTTCGGTCTCGGAAGAGTTCCATATTTTTCTTGGAAATGAAGGACCCAACGATGAAGGCTCTGAATAGAACAGCGACGGATCTGAAGCTTGCTGTCACAGAATTCTACCTCAACCTGATCTTACTACAGAATTATCAGGTAATGCATTTACTGTTTTTTTTTTTTTTTACAAGATTCAAACCCAGGGCCCTGGATAAGTACGGTATTTTATTTGCTGTTACTTTTTTTTATGCAAGTAAATATTTATTTCTATTTTTCAGAATCTCAACTTCACCGGATTTCGTAAAATATTGAAGAAACATGACAAAATGTTTGGGACAGAAAAAGGGCTAAATTTCCGAACCAAAGAAGTAGAAAGGTCACCGTTCTTCACCTCCAAACAGATTGACAAGTTGATCCTTGATACAGAGGTATGTTAATAAATCATTCAACATTATTCTCATAATACTTTTTTTTTCATTGTTATTCATTCAGAAGTAGTTCACAAGATCACTTAAGGTAACTAATATTAATCCTGCAGTGCATTGAAAATTTACATAATGTTACTTTGTGAAAATTAACCAGCTTAAACTGACTAATTGCCTATTTTGTCTCAGGCATCCCTTGAAATATAAATGTTTAAGTATTGTAAATTTGTTTTATTTTTCAGACCCTGTACATCAATGAACTTGAAGGCGGAAACAGACAGAAAGCTATGAACAAGCTAAGGGTGCCGCCACTTAAAGCTCCGGTATGAATTGACAGTTTTACTAATTGTATATTTTTTTGGGAATGCTCCAAAGCGCTTCACAATTTTTCCTTGTATTCAAAACAAAATTAAGTACAATGAAATTACAATTTAATCTTGTGTAGTGTTATATACAGCAATGATGTTATAGATCGTGTTTTAGGTAACTATGTTTCTAGGGTATAAAATATTTGAATACAGTAAACATGAAATTGCCAATCTTTGAGAGGGAACAATTGAGTGTGAAGCATGTCATTGAAGTAACATGTTTGAAGAGTTGAAAGGGAAAAATTGGGTGCGATGCATGTCATCAAAATAACATGTTTGAAGAGTTGTATCAATGATTGATTGATTGATTGATTAATATGTTCTTCTAATTCAAGTTTTGTTGTGTTCACTATCCTTCTTTAGAAAATGAATTGGAGCACAATGCGTGTTGGATTCTTTTCTGGAATTTTCTTGGTGCTATGTATTATTATAATTTTAGTTGGTAAGTGATTATTGCATACACTATCCTATCAGATAGTAAACTAATGTTGAAGTCAAAGAAATATCTTCTTTTTTTTTTTCAAAACTATTACAAAAAAGTTGAATAATATTTCAATCATAAACAACCTGCCTACAGTATTTATTAAACGATCCTAACAATTAATAGCTACGTTTATTACAGTAATTCTGTGATTTTTTTTTTTTTTTTTTGTTTCTTTCTCAGCAATATATTTACCAATGGAAATAGATGTATATCCTGCTTTGAAGATGTATCGAGGTGTATTTCTCATCATATTCATTATTTTTTTACTTGGTCTGAATACTTACGGTTGGCGCAAGGCGGGTGTAAATCATGTACTTATATTTGAGTTAGATCCCCGGAGCAATCTTACCCATGAACAGCTTCTGGAAGTAAGTTCTTATTATGACTAAAAGTAAGAAAATAACATTGACTAAATATTGGAGCTGTTGCTTGGCTGTTTGCATTTCAGCCCCAGGGTCCTGAGTTTGAATCTTGTAAAATCAAAGCATAATTTTTTTCTTAAGACTGAAAACATCTCCACTTACATAATGAGACTTTGATAATGAGGTTATAAGCTTAGAAGGCCCTGTTGAAGACCTGTTCCATACTATTGAACAAGTATCAAGGTTTAAATAAAATTGGCTAGTAAGCTGTTAAAGAAATTCCTAGTAAAGACTATTTTCATCATAAAAAGAATTATTGGTCTTCTTTTGGGTATGGCAGTTTTTGTTGTTGTACATTTTCTTTCTATTGTCATTGATTTTATTGTATTGCTTGGCCAAACCATTATAAATTTAACATAAATAAATACAATTCTGGAACTGTTATTTGAGCATTGCACAATACGTTTTAATACACGTGTATATCTTAACTGTATGTATTTTCTTTTTTGCAGATTGCTATGTTTTTTGCGGTGCTATGGGGGTTAAGTATAATAAGCTTCATGTACTGTACGGTGACTGCGATACCGCCCTATGTCAACCCACTCTTGCTCGTCACATTCTTAGCCGTGTTTCTTATTAATCCATTTCCAATCCTGTACTTTAAAGCCAGAGTTTGGCTTCTTAGAGTCTTAGTAAGGACTTACTTGTAAAAATTACATTGTAATATCACTACATTTGTTCTCTCATTATCATGTTTAATAGTATTAAGATACTTATTTATTGCTACTGTATAGGGTACCACAGTCGTGTCATCACGAACCAGGGGGCGCCCTCTGTTATCAACGTTACCGTTCATTATGCCTGAATGACTTCATAGGCTTTCTGGAATAGGCATTTTAAAATCTAACGTTTTACCATCAAAATGTATTATAACACAAAAGCTTGAATTACTGTATATTAGGTATCGAATACACATTTAGTCATCAATTAAAATTTACAAAGAAAAAGTAAGAAACAACATCTTAATAATTACATTAGAAATTGGGATCAATGGTTTGTCAGTGAAGAAAATGCGTCCGGTTGAACGCTTTTTGAACGATAGGTATTGTGACGTAACACTGTAGTACTCTATATATAAACTAATATTGGTATGGAGAATTGAACCACAGAAACAAAAAGCTAATTATCATCCAAATCCTGGGGAGCTCACTTGTATACCAACCTTATGGATTTTACTGAAAATTATTAGGGACTTGATCTACCATTTTCCAAAATCTGGTGTCGATTAAACTACTATTACGGCCATGTAACCTACCAAATTAGACTTGCACTGGGATCCTGATGGCGAATAAGACCGTGGTTCTGTCTGTTTGCAATCTCTACTGTTCGTGGCTATGTATAAACGGTAGATTTAGCACAGAGGTTAGCAAAAAATCTTTGCTCAAATCATGTTAAAAATTATGCTACTTTGATACGGGACGGAGCAGAGACTTCCAATTTTACCTAGGTATTGCTCACACTTGTGCTACCAAGTCCTCGCAAATATACCCTATACATGCTGAAATTGTTCCATAAATTCCCACATTTGGGCTACCAAGTCCTCAAAAATACCCCTGTAAATGCGGCACCTACCCGTATAGAAATATTTTAAGAGTGAACCCCCCGGGCTCCAAATATAAATCTCACATTTTTATATGTTTATATTGTAATTCAATACAGCCTAAAAATAAACTTTTAGGTTCTTTCATGAATCTCTCTTGTTGTAATGATTTTTTTTCTTTTCTGCTTTTAGCTACGTATTATCTTAGCGCCGTTCTTTCCAGTTGGTTTCGCTGACTTCTGGCTGGCTGATCAGCTCAATAGTCTTGTTACTGTTTTACTAGATTTTGAGTTTCTTATATGTTTTTATATCTGTGAAGTAGATTGGACAAGTGGCTCATGTAAGTTTGATTTCTTGTCTCAATAACATACAAAACAATAACAACCAGTTACAAAATGTCAAAATAATAATAATCTTGGTATCCTTTATTAAACAAAAAAATCTCAGAGACATAATTCAGAAGATTGTAAAAAGAGAAAAGGTACATAACATAATTTAGGACATTGTCTATTATGTTACTTCTAATGCTAAAGTCTAATCTTACAATACATGTAATTAAGAGAGTGAAATCTTTTGTGTTTATTTGTACTATCCCCACTATCTCTCTATTGTATTTCATTATTGTCAGCCATGTAAAACTCCTCACTTCTTTCGTAACAGGTTCAGTAACATGCGGTACGTATGGTTATGGAGCTCGTGCCGTTGTCGCATGTTTACCTGCTTGGTTTCGGTTCGCACAGTGTTTACGTCGGTACCGTGACACCAAGTTAGTCTTTCCTCATCTAGTAAATGCTGGGAAATATTCTACAACGTTCCTAGTCGTTATTTTTTCATCATTATATAAATTAAATAATGGTAAGTATTTTTTTCTTTTGTTGTAAAATGCAAATTTTGAAAATAATATAGTTTTAAAAGTTATTATGGTAATGGGTTTTAATCTTGTATTATGATGAATTTCATATTATTTCATTACATTATTAAATATGTACAGTACTGTCCGTTAAAATGCCCCTGCATTGCGTCTCGGCCACTCGACTTGCCAAGGTTATATAGTGCTCTATACAGCCATTTTGTTTTGTCGAGTATTTACAAGTTTTGTATTCGACTGGTTGTCTTCGTCGAGTAGGATTTTACCGCTGCGCAGGTGGGCATGGTTTACGAAGAAGGACCAGTCGAATATGGCCATTGTCTTATTTTTTTATTCTAATTAGAGACCAAATCTACTAAAGTCCATGGAAACCCCTGTTCCACTAGTGGTCTTTAATTGGAGGGAGACCTGTATTATTATTAGTAGATTGATATTGTAGATTTTCAAATAGCTTGTAATTGTGTATATTTCTTATTTTTGTTTAGATTCATCATTTTACAATAATCCTCTGTTTTACTTCTGGGTTGTAAGTGCTGTGTTTAGTTCTTGCTACACCCTATCATGGGATATTAAGATGGACTGGGGTTTGTTAAGTTTAAAGAATAAAGAAAACAAACTGCTTAGAGAGGAAATTGTATACCCTCCAAAGGTGAGTTTTTCATTTTTTTGCTATCATATCAGTAACATCATGACTAATTAACATCTCATCACCATCATCATCTGGAAATAAATCCTGTGGTAAGATTTCAAGGGTTATCTCAGATATCATAGCTTTTGATCCTGTGCCTCTTGGTTTTGTATTTGTTGTTTTTTGTGTTTTTGTTCCACAATTTGTTTTTATATTCCAATGTATTAATCTGTAATTTTTTTGTGAATTTTTTATTTTGAAATTGTAATAGTTTAAGCAGATATTGGCACACAGTGGCTTTCATAGCAATAAAAGAAATTTAATTTAATTTAAATTTATGTTAAATAATTAAATCAAATCAAATTACGTAAAACACTGCATTAGCCAAGTGCATGGTGCATAATTTAACATCCAAATGCTATCTTGTTATTCTTATTAGACGTATTACCTTGCCATGTTTGAAGATTTCATTTTGAGGTTTGCATGGACATTGACAGTGACGATGTCGATCAAGTATAGCATGTTCAACCCCTACATTGATATAATAATCACCATGCTAGCCATCCTAGAGGTGTTCCGGTGAGTGTTAATCTCTCGTTTATTGATGTGATTACAAATAAGATTATAAAATTTTTGCTTTAAAGTTTGGTCTGATGGCACTACAAATTTTTTCAATCTTAATCATTCGAATCAAATTGCCGTACATTAAAAAATACATAAAAGGGAATTAAGTAAGATGTTTTTTTTATGTCACTAGCAACAGAAGTAACTTTAAAATCGTTTTTTGGCAATTTTTTATGAAGTCATAGATCATTACGATTTTCCCCTTTAGCAGTGTGATGTCTGTGTAAGCTACTGTAACCAAAGATTGTATAATGCTATATGATTTTTGGTTGCAACAGTAGCTTACCTTACGTCACGCTGCAAAAGTGGAAAATCATAATGGCCTATAACTTCATAAAAATTGCCAAAACATGATTTTAAAGTTGATTCTATTACTAATGACATATCAAAAATCTCCTCTAGAAAATAATATCTTTCTAGTTCCCTTTTAAGAAAATGTATAATACAAAAATACTTACATTAAAAGTAATTAAAATAGATATGACAATTATGTATATATAGATGGACACTAACAAAGAAAAAGGGCTAGAAAAATACAACTTGTTCTGTCGTAGTATATTTAAGTATTTTTTACTATTTGATTACAAGTTTTAGTTTATAAAATATTGCCAATGGCAGGTAGATTTTTTTAAAATTGTTTTTAAGCATTTGTAGTGAGTAGATACAAGCGATTTTTAGAACATCGTCAAGAGTCCATTGAGAATTCTTTAAAATGAATGTTGTTTCCAACGTAGGCGATTTGTGTGGAACTTCTATCGTCTAGAAAACGAGCATCTGAACAACTGTGGTGAGTTCAGAGCTGTGCGAGACATCTCTGTGGCACCTCTAACGGAAGATGACTTCAAGGATCTGGAGTGTATGATGGATGATGAAGAAGAAGTTCCTCGCTACAAATCAAAGTCTAAAGAGAAGTAAGTTACAGTTTCTTTTATTCAACATCTCATTTTCTCTTGGTGTGTCTCTACATCGCTGCCTTTGTCTATTTCAGTATCTATCTTTCTGTCTATATATCTCTATATGTGTCACATTTTTCAATTACTGTGGTTTTTATCTTGTTATTTGGGGTTCGACTACAAGGTTGTCCAGACCTGTCCGATGGGAGAAAAATTTCCCCGTTGACGCCACCAGTGGCGTGAACACCAGTTTTTAATGTTTTGAAAAACATGAACTTTTTTGAATTTCATAACATGAATTCAATATCCATCTTTTCAGTGGTCGTGTAGTGCGTTGGAAAATGGATGAAGAGGAGGATGAAGATGACGAAGATGAAGAAAATGTGTTAATAGAATCACCTTTAAATTCATCTTATTCATTGACTATTCGAAACGTGAAGCCATAACGCATTTCCAGAGATTGGGGCGCAGCCGTCTCCATTGAAATTGTGTCAGTACTGTACTTCTGCAAATAGTCTAAACAGATAATGAGAATTTTCATTTTGTGGAGATAGTTGAGGTATTTGTGTAATTCGATGCCTGTATGAGGTGAACTACACAAACCCATCAGATATTTGTCTGTCAGACTTTGGTGGTGTGTACTTGTTTAAGACATCTAAAACTCTGTCCAGTCAGACTATATGAAAATATGATGGACATTTTTCCTATCTATTAGAAGTTCAACAGTGCTCTAGTTCATCAGATAAATTTTGATCATTATCACTTTGTTCAATCTGACAGACAAAATCGTATAGTGTATGCAATGGCTGTTATATGCTTATAGTGTATACCAATGCTTAATGCAAATGTAGGACCAATAAAAATATAATACATTGTGGGACCTTAGCAAACCAGTTTGACCATGTGTGTACTGTGTTGTTTCCAATACAGCAGAGCTTTATTCAATGCAACTATGCAAGATAAAAACCTTGTGTGTGTGATTAAATGATGTAATATTTCAATAACAGTGGCGGATCCAGGAATGCAAAATAGAGGGGCCGGAAATTGCACTCTCAGACTTTGAATATAATTTTCTTTATATCTCTCATTTCTTTTTTATTTTGAACAATTTAGGGGAAGCCCCCCCCCCCCACCTTTGAATCCGCCACTGAATAATTTGTATGTCCACCAAAGCTTGCTGTAATAGACTGGAATTAGATAAATTCTGAAGAAAATCTATTTTATACAGAAGAAAATAAATGTTTATTGAATATTAATCGAGGAATATTGCAATAAAAATAATTTTTTAATTTTTGTTTATTATCAATATAATAATTATTTTAGTACAGTTCATCTTGTGAACTAATGATTGTTAAATATGTATACAGTATAAATACATTTATTTTATTAATTCAATGTGGTTATTAAGGTGTTAAAATCATGGTGAGATAAAGGTGCTATCATGTTCTATAGACAGAAAACATCAAAGCTCATATGTTAACTAGTAGAATGACACCTAAACTGTTCATAAGTGCTCTAATTAAAGGAAGGATCTAGGATTTTGTGGAAGGGCTGGTGGGTGTGACAAATTTGTCTGTTTCCATATATGGGCATGATGATGTCATCAAATATGGGCATATCACATTTATTTGTCACATCAAATAGTGTAGACAGAGTTTAAGAAAATGGATTATAGATATTCACAGCAGTTAGACATCCAGCCCAGTCTTTATATAAATGGACACAAAGTGTTTTACTTAGTTTATACTACGAGGTGACAATAACCTATTCTTAGCCAAATAGGTTTCATGTAAACTACATGGGACCAATTACTTCAAATCCCATATGGAAAATGAGGTAAATAAACTAGAAAAACCAAAAAATAGCATGGGTATTATGTCTAAATAAGTTACCTAATACTTGAATATTAATTTTGAGAAGTTATCTCATTTTAAATCATAACCACGGACATTCAGTGACTTCCACTTCTTTAGACCAAGATCAGTTGTTATATTCCTGGTGTAGTATATAAATATATACATTTGATTTAAATAAGAATATTAACAAAGGAATGTGCTAATTTTTATATTTCTATATTTTATTTCTGCTTCCATTAGATTAGAATTGCTATTTCCGAAAACTCTGCGATTCTGTTTCTGTCTACCATTGTCTGCATTGCTTGTGACTTGTTTAATGAGAGAGAATTCTCATGTTTTGACTAAAATGGGTGCCTGCACTTTCTACAGACAATAGTATTTTTATCCCAATTTAGTTGTCTACATGTGCTGCTTAAAGTATATAAAAAGATATGATACGAGATACGAGCTTCTATATTCGCAATTGTATGGTACAAATTGAAATATGAATTTGTGACCATATGTTTTGACCAAAAAGAGTAGTGGAATTTTAAAATAATAAACCAATATAAAAAAATTAAAATTTTATTGAGAAATAGAAAAACTGAAATAAGATTTAGTTAACTGTTTACTCTAGCTAAGATTTGCAGTGTGATTATGTGACATTAAACTCTATTTAATTTATGTATTTATTGATTTTCTTCAACAGATAAATATACATTAATATTTTATATTGTATATGCACATAATTTCTGGTTTTGTTATTTAACTGAAACTGCTTACGGTTTATCACCAAACACAAAAACCATCCAAGATAACTCTGTGAATATTCATGCTTTATTACAGTTTTCAAAGTAACTCCTTGTGTTTTTTTGTGCTTTACAAATTTATAAGCATTGATTAATAAATATGCATACAAAAATAAAGTCCTTGATTCATTCATACCTCTGGTAGATATAAACACGAATAAAAACCCACACTATTTTTGTATTTTTTGAATAACAGTAAGGTTGTGATGTATATAAGTTGGATCAGTGTGTTTGAGTTGATATTTTTTTCTATGGGGTTTTACTCTATATAGACTGTGCTAATGTGCAAAAGAATTTTGAAGTGTGTACTTGAATAAATAAATGTACAAAGAATATATTGTCATTGTGTTTTCCAAATAAAAAATGTTGGAATTTTATACACAAATGGTATTTTGTTACAGTATTTGTTTGCCATAGCCATAATTTCCCATTCTCGTATATGAAATATATATATATGTATATACTATGAAGGAATTAAAAGGTATTATTGAAGATACTATGAACACAAGATAGAACTCTCGCATAGCAAGTGAAGTGGATATACGTCATATCTTTTATGCTGGTACGTCCAGACATACGCAGCGCCCTTCATTTTTTATCAACTCAATTCTTTTAATCTATACAAGGTCCAGACATACAGGGCACCCTTCTGTTAGGCCATTTGATTGGTAGTAGTAGCATTCCCTACCACTACACAACAGTGGCAGATGCGGATTTTTTTTTCAGTGTAGCGTGAGGGAGACCTAAATCAAAGTTGTGGGTACTTAGCTGGGGGTAAATCAAGGGTGTCTTTTCTACACC